TCCTACCTTGCACTCACCAATATCAGATTCGAATTTGAATGGTGAGCAGTAAGCCAAGATGCGATCTGACGATTACTATTTTTTCGTTGCATAAAACGTGATAATGTACTTGCCAATGCTAGCTTACAAACGATTTCAAACGAAGTCACTTCGATCGCTAACTCCTAAAATATTCAGATGAACTTGTTTTTAGAGGTCCTATATTTCCAAACCTTTGACCAGTCATAAATCAAACCGTTCATTGACTAGTCAATCGTCAGAAGCAAATCATCAATATCAAGCCATATTTGTTAATAATGCTGCCATTTGACTTTACTTTCAAACAATAAAAAAATTCACTAATTTTCTAACGTTGTTCAACTTGTTTCACGACAAAAAAACGAAAAGGATGCTACAATATAATATTAATTTATAAAAAAAATGTACGCTTAAGTTTTCTAAAGATGCTATCAAATGAATAGGCAACTAAACGATTCAAGGCGATCTTAGCCACGAAATGCACACGACTATCTAATTTTGACATCTCTGATAGATTAGAAAACAAGAATTGAACGCACTCAGTTCACCAATCTTTGATTACTAATACTTTATAATTTTCTTATACCGTATCACGAGTCTGATCACAGTCAACTTAATTTGTTTCCTTCTTCTTAAAATTATATCGATAGAAATACACTATTATTGTAGCTTTAAACAAAAAAAAAGCTAAACGAAACAAACAAAAATCAAAGCCGTTCATTTACGTAAGTTGTTTACCTTTTACCTACGGTGGAACAGCTTACTCGCAAGTTGTCTGAATTCCCGCATTATAAATTATTATTTTAGTGCTGTTCATTTGTTGTAGAACTTTTGCAAAGTTTACAAAACGTTTCAAAGGCTGTCACTGTCCGTTAAGACACGTTGGAACTCCATTGAAAACCACAACTGATTGTCACTCCTCAACAACGAAAGCTTTTGATCTGGAATTTGTGGTTACTACGCGCTGGCTCATAATATTTCACAAGGAATCATTTATTGGTACTACAGTGGAATCGTATTTTTTTTTTCAAGGTCATTTTCATGCATAAGACACAGCATATTTCATGCATCGGGTACTCCACACTTTATGTAACGATGTCGCGACAACTTCAGTTATGATACTTTGAGAATCTTGAAAAGTGAAACCTGTTTATCAGGAGATAAAAAGAAAAGTAGGACAGGATAATTCTGGTGAAACAAACGTTTTAGAGGAAAATTATATCTTTTCTCCACTTTCTTGGCCGGGGAGGAAGAGAATCAGTGAGCTTGTAGCGCTGTTTTATAATGAGATCTCTGTAGATGCAACATGGCGGTTGAGTACGAGAAATGCTGAGATTTTGTTTTATACTCAGAGTCAGTTTAAACAGTTTTTCATTGAAGTGGGACCTCTGCCTCAGGTGTGTGTAACTATAAGAGGTGTAATCCGTGAGGAAAACTCATAGATGCCTTGGAAAATTTACCACTTTGATGGAGCTATGAACCAGTCCAAGATCAACCCTTAGTCAACGGCTGTAAAAAAAATTAATATTTTTAGCTTAAAACTCGGTGTTCTCGTATCTCTGGTGTATCATTTGACACAGGAAAAAGAAAGCTAAAATCGAAATAAGGGGAAAAAATCAGTTGACTCGAACTTGACACGTGACTCGAACTCGGTCGGGCTCGAACTTGACTCGTGACTCGAACTCGGTCGGGTTCGAACTTGACTCGTGACTCGAACTCGGTCGGGTTCGAACTTGACTCGTGACTCGAACTCAGTCGGGCTCGAACTCGACTCGTGACTCGAACTCAGTCGGGCTCGAACTTGACTCGTGATACGATATAACTTATTGTCATAACCTTCCATGTATTTTTTTTCAGTATGAAGCTGGAAATCTATTACTTAGTGACTAGAATATAATTATTCCTATTTTACCCTTTCACTCCAAATATGTCATTGGTAACTCTCCCTACTATTTACCATACATTTCTTAAGATGTAAGATTGGAGAATTTGGTATTGGATCAACTAATAATCCACTTATTGATATTTTCCTTCATCTCATCTTTTGAATTGTTTGTTTGATATTGTATTATATAAAGAGAAATTCTGTCCTGATCACTCATGGAACAGAACACTGTCATTCTTGATTCCGCATTTCGCATCCTCTTTGTGCAAAATTTCACTCACGACCAGCGCGCGCACATTTTTACCATGTCTCTTAATAGCTAGCATATCAAATTAGAAAAAAAATAGAGAATAATACAATCAAAACCAGAAATTTGATTTGAACATCAGCTGCCTCGGTAAAATCATGACCTCCGACTGCTATTGATTTATAGCAAGAAATTATAATCTATTGTTTACAATAATCTGCTGTTTAACAAAACCACACCTACCCGTCCCAGCTTGTAAATTTTATTCCGCGAGCTAGTGTTGTCGTCAGAAGCTCGATTAATGACTTCATAAAGCACAGATAAAATCAAAACGAGATTGTGGTTCGTGTCTTACTGTGTGCTTGAAAAAAAATTTAAAAACAAAAACAGCCATGAATTTTGCGCCTTTGACTCAGCGAAGTCCTTCTAAGAGAGGTGACACAACTTTCAGAGCGAGGTAAATTCTTATCTATCTTGATTCGACTTTTTTTTAGCTCATCTCGTAATCATGAATTTTCCATCGCCTTATAGAGTGCACTTTTCTTCGGACTCTTTGATTGCCGCGACAAGTGGTTTTAACGGTTTCAGGGGATTCTTAAACTTAGCACTTTTGCTGTTGGTGAGTAATTTAAAAAGAATTACGTAGGAAATTTGACACGGAATTGTGTTACGTTGATTTCTTATTTCGTGCGATCGTAAGATTTTTGCCATAAAGTTATGCAACGTAATGTTTCAGGGTTTTCAATGCGAAAAGCAAATCCGCGCACCTTGTAATGAGACACTCTTAACGTCAAAAGGCACTCTAAGCGACTACTTCACGGTCATCCGTAGTAACATGATATTTTATCGCCGGCGGATGTCCAACGGTTTCCCTACGTCCTCCTCGAACTCCTCTCTTCGAAAGACGACCCGAACAACCATCGGTTATTCAGCCTCCAAAGCTGAGAAGAAATTCGAAAACCGATGCTGGTACAAAAAGAAAAGATAAAGCTGTCAAATCTGCTACAAAGAAGAAGTAATCATCGAGATAAGCTAGATAGAGACCTATTTTTCACAAAAAATCTGAAAAATTACTCATAAAGCATCTTACAACATTTTTAAGTTTAGCACGGCAAGGGGCACCGGTTGAGTTTTTTACCTTCAGCAAGAGCGTTACTAGGGGTGCCCCTTACCTTCCGCCGTGCGTGGTGTGTTTTTTCATGTTGCTCTGCAATGCAGTTTTTTTTTTAAAGGATCAAACTTTATTAAACGAATCTGAACTTACTCCGAATTACACTTTACTCCGAATGCAAGAAACTTAATCATCATGCTCGAATACCACAGGATAATTAGTTTTGGCGACATTCAACATCTACAATACAAGTTCATTAGCGGCTAATTCTTTGTGGCAATTCCGGTATTGTAAACTGATGATTTTTCTTTCAAGTCAACAACAAACAAAGCTTGTGATTCGGGTTGCGAAAAAAAAGCGATTTTGAAGAACCTGCTGAAGTCTTTTTCCAGGGCTAGATACTATATTCAGCCCGAACTTCTCGTGGAATAAACTTGAGCCCGCTGATAGACAGGGTGGCGCGGGGATATAGGCCACCTCACTTAAGGCGCTCGGAAATTAATAACCGTGGCTCCCACTTTTAAAGATATTTCTGAGTTTCCTACGCGACCCGTGAAAGTGTTGTGAAATTGCAGTATTATTTTTTGACGATAAAGCAGGTAAACTCATGGCAATATCAGACAAAGAGCTCGAGTCCTCAATTATTTTAGGTGCGAAGATGATAAAGTCTAAATTTCATTTAGTTATCCATGAAGTTGATATTCCGATTGGATAGTGAACAAGTTCGCAAGTTGTGTTGGTATCGTAACTAATTCAGGCTTTCGGTTAGCCTACCACCTTTAGTTTGTCACTCCACCGTTCTGATCTTTCGTGTGTCTCTACTGGCTAAGAGCTGTAAGAGCCTCCCATAAGCTGGTGATTCTAATATGATCGTTCATGTCATGTTCCTCTTGTATTGACAATTTTTCACCGAAGTGAAGGTAAATAGTTGTGCGCTTTCCGGCTTGGTAACAGAGCCGCCGTAACCGTCACCGTCACTGAGGCGAATAATTGTTTTAGTATATAACACACAGATATCAAAAAAATGGCTTATTTATTTCAATATACCGAAAAATTGTTGAAATGAAACTCTTTACGTCTCATCGACTGCTCGGAGGCGAATAATACTTGCTACACACTTCCGAACTTGTCAAACAGCGCACGGAAAGCACTATTCACCTGCGTGGTATATATTACTCGAAGGTAGTGACAGTCCAGTTTATGCTCAAACCGACAAAGAGCGCTTTTGTTAAAAAGATTGTGGGGACGCTATTTTGCATTACGGCGCAAGCGTACCTAAGAGCGCCTTCAGTTTCGTGGAGAGGGACTGGGACGAAGCACTTAAATAACAACTAGCTTTGATCGAGGGGAATGGGGAAGAGACCCACTATGAATTACTTAGTCTTTCAGATGTCATATTTCCAGGGGTTGATACAGTTGCTATTTATATTACTTATTCGTTTGGACTTGTCGATCCGGCCGTCCAAAGGGTCATGCCCCCACTCTCATTTGACCAGCGGTTGGTACTGGAGTTCTGTGTGGAGAAGGAACGTCTTAACCCTGGTTGTGTCATCAGGCAAACATTTTTTATCGACAGAGGAATTTAAAATTAAAAGATTCGTACCAAAATTGACAAAAATTTACGTAAAAACAAAACTTCACCGACCACTACTTGTGATTTTTGATAATAGCAAAAGTCGTACCATCCCTACCCCTAGAGGACAAACAGTCGGGTTGATCGTGCAACGTGTCACGTGCACGATTGTTGACATCACGATTATATGTTCAAAGGCCGTTCGTCATGTCAGTTTGGAGACCGAAAGCGAAGTAGAAAGAAGTTATTTTTAAGTCTCGATGACATCTTCCACAACGAGGAAGCGATCAACGCCCAAAAGGGCCGAAAACACCACAGAGGCGAAGGCATCAACGAAATCTCAAGCAAAAGAATCGGATTATGGAAAACGGTAAGTGTCCACTCGTCGTTCCCCGATTAAGTCGAGTCTTTCGGGACGAATAATTCCTTCTTTTAAAATGGACGCTTTCAGAGCTGCTCTTCTATCACTTTCCAGGGTTCACGAGAAGGAAGAATCTCTTTTAACATCGACCAGTGGGTTTGACAACTACAGAGGACTAATAAACTTATGTCTTATTCTCTTGGTAAGGGATCACATTTCGAGGAATAAAGTCTATTCATTTATTTGCGGTATTTACTCCTTCAGACAGCAATTGCATCAGCAATAACGAGAAGTAGATAAAAAAGAATGGTGGAATAATGTGCAACGAAGGGAAAAAGAATTATATGCTTATTTCCTTGGAATACACATGTATACACTTCCCGATTTCTTTTCCATCCAAATTATTTTCGCATGCTGCAGGTTGATTGAGGTCAGATCACCTAACTGGTTTCTATCATATCCTGGGCTAAAGTCTCGGTTTTTTGACAAATCATTCAATATTTGCCGTTCATTTTGTTCTCATAACTTCTCACAAAGTCCTTTTATTGATAAGATCATTGGAACTTTTGCCAGGAGTAACAGGTCTTTATTTTCTTACCTCGTTTGTTCATGGAAGTAAAGGAAATGAAATGTTTCGTGGACTTCGCGAAAAGCCATTTTTTTTATTCAGGCAGCAAGATTCAGATTGTGGCTGATCGGTTAAAATAACTTTTCTCTGACATCTGTTTTGAATTTGATAAACTTACGAAAAGGAAGTGCTATTTTAGAGTGATCTCCCGGAATAATTGATCCGTTTTACCTCAAAGATCTTTAAATTAATTATTTTAATAGAATATTGGCCACGTATTTTATTTGTCAGTTTTGCATGATAATCACATAGACACATGAAGACATGCAAGAAATATACATATTTTTAATTCGCATAATCTGTCTGCCTGACTGAATGTTGAGATCGTTATGAGTATTGACCAAATGCCAACTGGGGAGTCAAAGAGGGTATGGAGTACTTTCTTCATCAAATTTTGAAGGATTAAAACAATAAATCACAAACAAAAAAAAGAGGCTAAGAAACATTACAGAAAGGTAGTCAGAAAAATGGGACAAAGTGCTAGTAACAATCCTGAAAGATAATCTGGGTATCCTGTGGTCAATGAATTTAAGTGAGTGAAACTGGAGAGAAAAGGACTTTTGAGCAGGGAATGGATACAAAAATCCATGTGAATACAAGAGGAATGTAACAATAGAATATTACATGGTCACTTTGTATTTGCTCTTGTTTAGTTGACATCATTTTCATTGTTCATTAGAGTCAGTGCGTTCTTTTTTCATTTTTCATTAAGGTGAAAATTAAAAGTCAGTCTTGCAAATAAAAACAACAACAAAAAAAACTGTCATCCAAACCCCTACACCTCATCCTTACAGTGATGTTTTGCAGATTTTCCTTAAATTCTGAGGTCAAGAAAAACTGTGACCTGAAAACTACCCACAATGCTTTCTGGGGTTGTTGCATGCTTTTTCTGCACTTTTTTTGGCAGTTTTTCTTTAAACAGCTGTATACAAACTGTGTTATGTCTGACAGTTGTTTTCCGAGAAAGTAACATGGGATTGCAAATAATGAATTTCATAAAAATACTCACAAGTAGATGTAATTAATGTGCAATAACTGCACAGTACTTTCATTACTTGGCAAATTGTCCTGGAAAAATAACCAACTGTCTTTCTAGACTTCTCCACCCAAAATTATATGAAATTTTTAAAGTGAAAACTTTTCCAACTCCATTTAAATGGAGGTGGTTTGAGTTCTAGAGTATGAATATTGCTGAGGCAAAACTGCAATATTTTCTCAGACAAAGCCAACACAGAAAATTTTTTCCTCAACTTTACTCTTTGACCCCTTTCTGATTGACTAGCATCTAATTTCTCAGTACAATATCATCCCTGTTTTCACACTTCAAAGTCACAAGAATAAGGTAATGTCCACCAACCACAGGAGCTCTTGATTGTTAGAAAATTCTTGTTTTCAGTGTCTTAGTTAATGTAAGGACAACAGTATAGGAAATATGCATCTTGACCTTAGGATGTAAAGAGGTAAACATAGTCAACTCTAAGCTGCCCCCTTCCCCCTCCCTTTCTTTCCTGGCAGCCTCATGGTCATCGCTGTCCTGGTGTACACTAAAAGTTAATTTATTTTGTTGCAGGTGCTCTCCAATTTCAGGGTAGCACTTGATAATTTACTGAAGTAAGTTTGATTTCTCACAGAACTTCTTTCATGTGTAAATGGTATTTATATGTTTCATGATGTAGTCTTTTCCAATGTTGATTGCAGTATTTTGGCTATATACTGCTAGTCTTGGTCTCCACCTATCAAGTATGGTCCTGTACAGCACTTGGTTGTTTTTAAAAGTTACAATTGGTGTATTTTGAGTTTTGTTGGTCTGATGATGTGTTTGCTCATGTGATATGTTCACTGTAAGGGCCCATATAAACCAGTACTCTATTATACAGTTATCTGATATTGAGGAGTTAATGTTTATCCTTACATGTAATGTATTTCCTTTGTAGGTATGGCTTGCTGATAGATCCTCTTCAAGTAATAACTATCTTCTTGGAGGATCCATACCACTGGCCATCAGCATCACTTGTGATCTGTACGTGAATTTCTTAAATTATCTGCAAAATTTATCTTTAATCTATTTGATTTAGTATACTGGCCCCTTCATCTGGGACTGTGGGAGAGGAGGGTGGGTGATTAAACATAGAGGTTTACTCTAATTACAGGTAGCTTGTTGAGGGAATGGAGGGTGGAAGATCTGTTGTTTTGGTTGTTGCTTGGCTTTATTAACAGCAACTTTTTTGTTGTTTTATTGTTTTTCAGTTTCAAATGTGCTTATTCAGTTGACGTTTGTCATTGAGAAGCTTTTGGCTGCAGTAAGTATCACTTCCACCACTTGCTAGAGCAAGTGGTGCAAACAATTGTGTGTTATTTGCAGTGTTAAAGGGAGAGCCGCATTTTGTTAGTTTTACGTAGATGTGTTTTTGGTTTGTTCCAAGAATTTTTGAGGCTATTTTTAGGGGCTTGTAATTAGGTACTTGGTAAAAAATGGCTATTAAAACACTTCAGTGTCAGAGAAAGAAAAACTAGCTCTAATGTTTGATGCAGTATAATTATCTCTTTTTTATTATAAAATTTAAATATTTTCTGTGGCTGAAATCATTGATTTGGTACTCTTCTATTTTTTTTTTTACACAGGGCAAAATTTCTGAGAGGATTGGGCGGATATCCCATATGTTTTTGCTGCTGTTAATGTTATTTGTGCCATGTACAGTGATTTTGGTTTATCTTCCACCACCATGTACGTATTGAGAAAATATCCATGTATTTTACACATGCACAAATGAATGGTTTCTCTTAATTGAGCAGGCACAATTGTTTACAGTGTGCTGTTTATCCTAATCTAACAAGAAGCATTTTGTTCAAAGATAAAAACAGTCTACCCCTTTGAAATGTGAGTGGCGATATTGCAGCCCTTCTTCTTTATAACATTCACTTCTCTGCAATGCATGGCTGCCTTTCTCTGTATCATAATTTAGTTATTGTTAAGGATTTTGATGATTAGTCATTAAATGAACTGAAATTTAAGTCTTGATTGTTTTTTCAGTACTCATGTATGTTACAACCTATTTCATAGGGGCAGCTAACATCGCTGTCTTTTGGTATACCATTGTCTGGTTGAAACTTATCAGCTATGTCAGTGTTAACCTCTGGTACAGGTTGGGATTGATGAAACATGAAGAGAAAGGTAAGGCAAATACATGAGCATTAGAAATCTGGTTATCACAATCTTCCACTGGTTTGCAGTTAGATCTCAAGAAATAAGCTTAAATGTCCACCTTCCTATGTTTTACTTTTAACCCTTGTAAAGTTTAGAGGTCTTAACCCTTTGAGCCCTAAGAGTGACGAGAATTTAATTTCTCCTTACAATGTCACTGCTGAGTCAAGCATAAAGATCATGAGAATTAAGGAAATGTACAGAGAACAGTATGGAGAACAGAATAGGGATAAGGGCATATAGACTTACCTATTCTGATACTGTTAAATTGACTCTCTTTTTTCAAGAGTTGCGCCTAGGTGACATTTTCATTGAATTTTTATGACTGGTTAATCAGGTGTGGGGCGATTTATTGCCCCACAACTTTTCAAGCCAAGTACAGTTTTCAATGAAAATCCTGTTCATTGTTCTCATATAGAATTTTTATGATTAAATTAATGTTATTTATGAGTTGTTTACTGAATAACTTGATTCAATTTTGGCAGGTCATGTTGCAAATGGGAAACCCGAAACTCTTCCTTTGGTGAAGTATCCTGAAAATCTCACTCAGAAAGGTTAGGCAACTTGATTGGTACTGGTAAATCTATTTGTCATGCAAATGCTTTGTGCACTGTTCAAAATTCTTGTATCTCATCGTATGACTTGGGTTTATTAATGGTGTAAAGTGCATAGTTTTTTAGTTTTGTCTTCCTACTTCACTGTCTATTTATACCCTTTCTTCCCTTTCATTCTTAAGCAAGAGGGTAGCAAAGGAGGGTTCCAGATCTTGTTTCACACCTGAATTTTAGAAAAATGATCACATCATGTGTATTTTAAACAGCATTTCAGGTGTCACAATTTTAAAAGGGAAACCTTCAAAACTATCTTCTTGTGTGTAAGGTTGCAAGGAAATCTTTTCGTGAAATGAAAGGAAAAAATGATTCTTTCACATATACTTTAGCAGGCAAATCATGGTTCTTAAATTCACCAAACCACGACCTTAATCTTGCATCATGTTTAAACCCTCTGCCATGCTCAAACTAGGCTTGTCATGTGTTAGATCACGTTTTGTCAGGTGACACATTTTATGTCTAACTCCTTTATCATTATCAATTTAATTTCAGATTTATATTACTTCATTTTTGCACCAACTTTGTGTTATGAGCTCAATTATCCCAGAAGTGAAAGGATACGGAAGCGTTTTCTTTTGAGAAGACTAGCTGAGTTTGTATGTCCATTTATCTGTTTGATTTACACTTACATTAACTTGGATGAATGTGTTAAGTTGAAATTAGGCAAATATGTTCCTTTGATTTCATGCACAACTAGAGAATTGCCAATGAGAATGAAATGCTCGAACCAAACTAGGGTTGATTTTGTTGTCTTGGCTACCTTTATTTCTTGAGTTATGTTTAATTCAAGATTTTTTATTTACTTTCAGTTTTTCATTATTGGAATTGTAATTGGAGCATTTCAGCAGGTAATCATGCTCAGTGTTCTTGCTGTTAAATGTCATGTGAAAAAAGATAGGGTTGTTGGCTTCAATCTAGATCTTCCTTTACCAGTTACTATTTTTGGTGATCATAGATCCATATTTATTGCAGCCAACATTTGGCCTAAGGGGTAATATCTGTATGCTACACTGAGTGCTGTAAAGGCTATGCAAGAGAACCTTAAATATCAGTATACACATTTTACTTTTGTTTTGTTTTTAGTGGATTGTACCAACAGTAAAAAACTCTATGAAACCAATACAGGTAGGAATGTGACTTCTTATCCAAGTACAATGTACATACACAATGTATTGAACCCTTTAAACCTTACTATCAGTATGCATATTCTCCATACAATTCCTATGGTATTGACAAGGAGAATTAGTCTAGCAATCAAGAACTCTTCAGTTGGTGATCATATCCTTTATTCTCCTGACCATAATGTTTGATTCAGGGGTGATATTGTAAGGAGAATTTAGATGCTAATCATTCCTAGGGGTTAAAGGGTCAAGGTGATGCAGCTTTTTTCTCTCCTCTCTTACTCTCAGAAATAATTTTCATGTACAATGGAACCTCTCCTTGCAATGTCAGCACCTTATCTAGCAATAGGAGATAAGAAATGACAAGAAAGTCAGTTTTTTATGGCTGATGTAAAAGAAAATGTTTAACAGATGGAAGGGAGCATTACGAACAAGATCTTGAAAAGTTGAGAGTTAAAAGGTTTAACATGACAGTCTGATGGTGAAAATTTATTGTCTGATAGGAGATGGATGTAGGCAGAGGCCTTGAGAGAATAATGAAACTTGCAGTAAGTGTGAAAGCTACTCTGAGGACCTTAAAACCCTATTCAAACACAGAATGATGTCAAAGATGTTTCCATTAGACTTATTTCAGGAGTCTTTTAATTTACGTCTTTCTGGAGTGAAAAAGGGCTCTGTAAGATGTGACCAGGGTGCAGGTCTACATCAGCTTTATCAGTTGCCTTTCAATAATCTGCTACATCAGTTATTACAATATACATGAAAAAATTACTTGCATCTGATTGGCAGAAACAAGTGCATTTTTCATATAAAATAAATGCAAATTACAGATGGCATGTGCATGCAGCCAAAATTTCATCTGTCTTGACTTTCTGTGAGGCTTTTTTTTCATGTACATCATTTACAAGTAACAACATGATTTCTCTTGCAATTTGGTGTAACAAGCACTGATCAAAAAATTTAATGGTGCCTGCTCTTGAAATGATGTTGTAACCTAGACAAATACATATGTATGCATGTATGTACCTTTGTCATGAAAAGTGTTTGATCTGTCATCACCTCATCATTACAGCCACATTTTTGTTCTTTCCCCCAACAAAATATAAAATGAAAATAAAATATTCTCTATTAAACAGGGCTTGACTTTTATAGTCTCATCACACCCCCTTTTAGACTACCGTTTGTTGCCCCCATAGATATTTGCTCCCTGATTAGATTGAAATTCCAATGATTTCCATCTTAAACAACTCCTTACCTGTTCAATTTAATTTCCCTGATGGAGGATAACTGAAATAATAATACCCCACTGCTTGACATTTAAGATCGTTTAAAGTGAATTATCGCCAAGAAAAATATTATTTTGAGAAAGTGAAATGTAATTTGGATTTATTTTTCCAGGTTCCCAACCACTTGTTATGGCTGCTGTTCTTCTACGCCTTCTTCCACAGTGGCCTTAACATTTTAGCAGAACTATTAAGGTTTGGTGACAGGACTTTCTATCGAGACTGGTGGTAAGTATTAGAGTTCCATCCTAATCTGGAGACCTGTGAACGATTGGACCATATGCAGTCCTCGTTTTCTAGGATAATCCTTTGTGTCAGGCAGTGGATATTGGAGAAAAAAAATATTCCAATGCCCCTAGGGTTGTCTAGTAAGCATTTAACATCTGTTAACAAACATCTAGCCATTTTGTAGAGGCTAAACAGTAACGTTTTGTATAGGTAATCACATGATTTCGAGCGCAATTTGGAATAAATAAGCACGAGTAAATTTTTTTTAAAGACTAACAAAATTCCACGAGCCCGTAGGGCGAGTGTAATTTGTGGTCTTTGAAAAAATTAACAAGTGCTTGTTTATTCCAAATTGCACGAGAAAAATCATGTGATTACGTGTTAATAATATACATGGAAAAATACGAGATGGCTTATCATAATTAAACATAAGCAAAGCGCGCGCGTCGAGTGCAAAAATAATTTGTTCAAACCTTGCGTTCGGTCAAAAGAACCGCGTACGATCAAAACAATAATAAATTATGCAATGTTATCTTCGCATTTTTAAGGTGCAAAAAAGTTCAAAATCCGGCTAAACAGTTGAAGGAATTGTTCAGTCTGTGTCCGAATCACCTTCGATGAAATGGAATCGTCGTTTCCGAGGTTTAACCATGTTTGTTTTCAATTTCGGCGTGTGATCGCTCGAGCAAAGTGTTAAGCTGGGTCGGCTCGTAATTTTCGATTTCCTCGGCAATTCCCTTCTCTAAACACCACTTTTTCCAAACCGACAGCCAAAAAGCAGTGCTTTTTACAGTGTTTTCGTTGTTTAAGCTGTTTTTCGGCTGCGGTGGCGAAAGAAAGCCTAAAACACCGGCCGTTGTTTCGCTCGCAAATTTTCAAATTTTCAAACTTTGTTGCGATATCCAAGGCTCGCATTTGATTGGCTATCTGTGAGTTTCTTTGATTATTGACCAATCAGAATGTCTTATTTGTTTCTTTCTTTGTACTGAATTAACCCTCTTCTGCACTGAATTAACTCTCTTCTGCCCTGAATTACCTGAAAACTGCATTTATCTTAGCCAATCAGAACTAAGTAATTTTTCCATGTATATTATTAAATCTGTAGTCTTTGTTCTTTTCCCCCTCTGTTTCCAGGAATTCTCCAAATGTGGCATACTTCTGGCAAAACTGGAATATACCTGTTCATCGCTGGGCGAGAAGGTAAGTGCATACTCCCATGCTCAAAGCGATGATTGTTCAGTGGAAGCTAGGCCACTTGGCAAAGATTGGGGGAAATGGGGGAAAACTGGTCAAGTCGTATTCCATATGGTTAATTAACCACGCTTGAAGTGTGAGATGTGGCGGGTAATTTACCAAGTCTTTTTTATGCGTCTTTATGGAGCGAAACAAAGTGAAGGTCCATAAATGCTGAAAAAAAAAGAAAAAAAAAAAAAAAAACGGACAGAAACTGGACCTTAAATGTTCCTCTTGGCTCCATCTCGGGGAACATGTAGAGTCTCGAGGAAATTAAACTCACTGATTCCCTCGAGATCGATCATTACTTACTTATTTCACCCGGCCAAGTGATTATATCAAAGTATTTTACCCTTCTGCAAACTCAGTTCACAAAACTCGTTTGGTGTTCTTTTCTTACTGCTTTCAAAACTGTCTTGAAAACTTTCTCTTTTTTTCTTTTGGTTTAAAAATAGGCACCTAAGACGTACGGCCTATCAAAAAACGGTTTTAATATTTTTTCTGCGGGAACTTGCAGACTCGGCTTTCTAAAAAAGCTTAAATGATACTTACATCTCCTTTTTTTTCCCTTTTTCTTATGTCCGTGGCAGACATCTCTATATTCCCATGTTAAGGTCAGGTTATTCATCTCTTCAAGCGCAAGTTGCTGTGTTTTTACTGTCTGCATTTTTCCACGAGGTAACTATCCTTTTCAGGGTCCTTACAAGGCAGGAGCAGTTTTCACTGATGTTAATTGTGGCCAAATTTGTAACATTTCTAGAAGTGTTTTTCTACATTGTTCAGTTTTTTTGATACTTGTTAATTGAGGTTGGAGGGGAGGTTTCTTCGCCGAGTTTACAGTTTGAGAGGATACGTTCGTGCAGGCGAATCGACACATTCTGAGGAAAATGCATGTTGTAGTACTGATGAAGTGTGAAAGCGGAGCTGACAAAACGGAGATCGACTGCAACGTACATGTACATGGTACATTTACTCCCTAGATGTCCCTCACAAGCACCAAGCATGGACCACAATTTAAATTGTTTCTTTTCCAGCAAATATTTGTTTTCAATTGAGGGTTATCAGGAGAAGACAGCTTAAAAGCTGTCTATTCCAGGTAACCTCTGAGTTGGAAACTTCTTAGCTTCCACCCAAGCTATTCCTTTCACGTGAATTCTAACTGAATTGTTTTGAAGTCCATCTTCAACCTAAGAAGGTTTTTATGAACAAATAGTTCTCTTGGTAGCAGTTTTTTATGTTGCATTCTTTTTTAGTTTTTAGTCAGTGTCCCCTTACGACTGTTCAGATTCTGGGCGTTCCTAGCTATGCTAGCTCAGGTTAGTCTAATTCGGTTACTTTTCAGTCTTAAATTTTTAGTGGAAAACTTAACGTTAACTGTAAAACAAGCATAATGTTAGTAGGGCTTCGTGTAATTCATACCTCTTTCTAAACGAGTTCAAAGCGGTCCATTCTGTAAGTTACGATCTAAGTTTTTTCCGCTCGGATTTAGTTTTGCTTAAAATCGGGAAAAAACGAAAAGAAAGCAAAAACATCAACAACACAAAGAGCAGGAAAAACGAGGTTTCATAACTTGCAGTAAGGACCAAGAAAACAGGGTGAGTAAGATATTTATTATATCTCTGGGTTCAAATAGAGGGGGAAGATTTCCCTTCAATCCTGATAGCACGCGAACCAATTGGGGGTGTAGTAAAGAGCATATATTTTGTAGTTAAAAATGAATTTCACAGGAATTTCAGGTCAAAATGATCGCAAAGTATCCCCCTTGTTCCAAATACATAACCACAAAGAAAATGCAAATCATACACAGTGAATTCAGTTTATGTAACCTGAAGTCAATAATGGGAATTGTCTTTGACTGAAGAATTTCGAACATGTATTATTTGGACCAGGCTGGTTGTGAAGACGAAAGTCTTTGCATTGTTTTTTTTTTCAGTCGTGAATCTGTGAAACAACTTGACAATTTATTTCCAAAGTTGTTTTAAGGCACTGTTATTTTTATTCTTTCGTTTCGTCACCAGGTACCTCTCCATTTGCTCGTGAAAAAATTTCTTGGCGATTATCCAAACTATGGTAACATGGTGGTATGGCTTTCAATCATTCTTGGCCAGCCGTTGGCAATTCTGACTTATGTCCATGATTATTATATCACTCACCAATAGTAGCCTTACAAGTCGGGTAAGTACTTTTTGATGTTAACAGTGATTGCTATAATGAAACAAAATCCTGCAGCGGACAATTGTAGATTAATTGTAACCAATTTTGAACTACAATTTCGCTCACCCTGCTCCGACTTTGCCAAAGCGTACTTTTCTACAAACACCCGAGATCAGCTAAATCGTCACCCTGTGGGACACTAGCTTTTCGGATCAATATCAGTATCTGGGCAACTTCCCACCTACCTCTCCCCTAACCCAACAGTAACCTTAACTTGTTGTCAATTGACTGCTGTTGAGTTAGGAGAGGGGTAGGTGGGCAGTTGCCCAGATACTGATATTGATCCGGTTTTTCTATATCTCTTTTTACACTTCGACATCATGTTGAAAGTGTTGCATGCTTTTTGGCAGGTTTGAGTTTTCATCTATTTGATGGCAGCTCATTTTGTATTTTCTTCTGATCTACAGTGTCAGACTATGGTAGATCAAAGTAGTCATCTTAGTGCCAGAAGCTGCCGGTGAAGGGAAGTGCCAACTCAACTGAAGAACATTTTTATAGAAAGCAATATTATGCTAAGCTCCCAAGTGACCATAAATAGTAATTTAAATAGTATATTTATTTTTAAGTTTTTTATCATTGATCGATTGTGAAATAAAAACGTTTTAGCTCCGCAGTGAATCTTTCAGATAAGGATGAAAAGTTATTCCACGCTGCTACTGAGAGAATTCTCGGCCGAGAATGTCTCAGTTGCACAGATTAATTCCAAGCAAAAGCTGTGGCACTGAGGCCGGTGAACCAGCGTGGACTTCATAGACAAAATCTTAGAAAATCTAGACAAAAGATTTTTTTTTGGTGGAGGGCTAACACTTAGGAGGGAAAGAAGGCTTCAGTTAATAATACGCACCATGCTACTCTCGGGTCGACAGCTCTTTTTCATAGAGGACAAATTGCATGTGATTGTCTTCTTGAGATTCTTGCCACTAACTGCGCAGAAGTAAACAGTGTGTGTTGACTTTAGTTGGGTTCTTAGCAGTTCCCAGCCCTTGTTGATTTTATGCCCTGTCTTACAGTCGCAATGTGTGACGTAAATGATGACATCAAAGTCTTCTGTGTTATTGTTTTATTTACAATCAATCTGGTGCTGATATTGCATTTACGTAGGGCTGCTAAACTCGAGCCCTAGTAGAAGTAGAATGAGACTAAAGTAAGATTTCCAGGCCTAGAGCAAGAAATAACTCAACCCACTTTTAGTGTGTTGCTGGACTATATAAAATTATCATATGATCTGAAAATTTCACCTGATCTAAAAATTTAATCTTTGCTTGATTTGCTCTCGAGTTCGAACACTTTGTTGGCGGAGTTGAACATGTTTAGATCCTCTTCCGTCCCACGACAGAACAGGAATAGTTACTCATTCCTGCCGCAATTATAGTTTCTTGGGAAAAAAATTTCCAAACGCTTCAAAGAGACAAGAACGATATGCTTTAGAACGATTCTGAGCGGAAAACTTGCGTTTCTAGTATTCGCCAATACGGCAAGCAACTTCGTCAACGAAGAAAGTTTGCGTATTTATACAAATCTTAACACTTTCTTAGAGTGTAGCCGATCAGAACACGGATACTGGCTTTTAACCAACCGAGAGCGAAATCCAACCGTAAATGCGCGACAGTTTCCCGCGCTCACTACAAATAGCGCAAAAGCCATTAGACACTACTTGTTTGGTTCAGAAAGGTCTATAATCTGCATATTCTCTCTCCCTAACAGACCCTAAAAATAACATGTTGGCGAAGGTTTAGTGCAGACTTTTTCAGCTCTTCTTCTACCGTTTCCCACACTAGCGCGACACTGGTGACGAGTTCATGCTCGCGCTTGATCCTAACATTGAGATAGCGCATGAAAAAGCGTCCAACGACGCAGCAATATGCCGTGGAATTCGGAATCTTGCATCAAAACACGAATCTTAAGATGATGAGAGAATTTAACACTGTCACCAATCGTGAGTAATATCATTTGCGCATTAATTATCTTTTAATTTAAGCATAGTGCAACTGCAATAATTTGCATTTAAAGGCGGAATAGCATAAAGAAAAATTCATCAGAGGTGCAACAGTCGTGCAATCCAATCCTGTCTCTGATACTAGTTTATACAAGCTATTCTTGATCATTTTTGAACAGAAGTGCGGCTATCAGTCGTCATTCTTCAGATTCTTTCGGTCTTCAAACTGTTTATCCACCGTCCAGGAAAGCGCACTCAGAAAGGCTGCCAACGCGACAGCAGGAGTCTGGGTAGAAGATAAAAAATACGAAGTTTGTACAGAATGATGATACCTCGCCACAAGGGCCCGCGACGTTCATGAATGAAATCTAGCTTGGAAAACAAATTCAGTTTCTTTTTTTCCTTTGAAACCGTTTCTTCTCCAGCCCTACTCTAATACGTAATGATTCTTAGGATCTTCCCGAGTTCAGCTTCGAAGAAAACCTAGAGACTACGCTGAGATGCGTTACACCTCAGGTCGCACCTGAAAACGTGTCAGAAAACAAGAACAAAACCGCAAAATTTAGGAATACATTTTCAACTCTAGTGAGAGGTAATGAACTCATCCTTGTATCAAAGATGGAAACTCTAGCAACACGTATTTGACTCGGGAGAACACAAACAAACAACTTGATCAGCACAAAATCCCTCTAATTTACAGCTTGAACAGACCTGAACGTGTCTAGCATGTGCCAAAAATGGAATCTTTCTGAGGGTCCTGCCACTCAGTCCATGACTCTTCCTGTAGCAAATTAATGTAGAATATCAAATACAGGCCAACACAATTTATTGTTCTTCAACAAGACACTGGTAAATGTGAACAGAAAAATGTTCATCTTTCAACGACTTTACTTGTAAACAAAGTTCTCATGAGGATTCTTAACCAATTTCTGATTTCGGATATACTTTGCGAAAAACTGCCACAAAACCTTAAAGCAAGTTACGCCAGAAGCTTAAAGACTGCTTTTAAGGCCATACACTAGGTACAGAGCTGACCAGCGCAGTACATGCTGCTACGATCAGCAGTATCAAAGGTGTCCTGTGTAGAAATAGGGAACGACACTTTGTCAACTTTAAACATTAACAATATAGACAGTGGACAAACTCTATGAGACCAACCTCGCTATTTCTAAAAGCTCCAGGCTTAAGTTTGTAGCATCATTATGGACAAAACTGAGAAAGAAAGAACAAAATTAGAATTTAAAATCATTTCACCGAAAGGGAATTAGCTACGAGCCATTAGAACTCGTTACAGTACAGTCAGGAGTTATATTACCGTCTTTGCGTTCTAACAGTCCATCCGAACACAGAAGATCCTCGCTGAGGGTCATCATAAAGGAATGGAATAGCTTTTAACAGCAAAAACGGACTTCTCCAATAATACCTCGGATTGTTTCCGTTGTCATTGGTAGTCCGAATTGGCGGAGTTCTACAATGCGTCCATAGAGCTTTCTAATTTTTTTACGATTTATAAGAAGACACCCAATTTCTAAATGCAGATTCTGTGATAGCGGAAGACGTTCGTTAAAACAACAACTCACCGTAACACTTCCAAGTCCCTGTTCGGAAATTCCGTTGGAAAGAAGAAAGAATATATTCTGTTAGCATATTGTTATTACGTTTAAAGATTACCCACCAGTAACAGGGTAAATTAAGAGATTATCAGGCTAAGAGACTGAATCTTCACGTGACCCTTACTCCCACGATGATATGTCATTTTTAAATCACTCCCATAATCGGAGATCCCAGCAGACAACCAATCCTGTGTCGTGAATTTTGCTTACGAGGCCATCCCATGCAACGCGTTCTTCACCGAAACATTCAGGATGCCCGGGCGATAGATGTTACATTAGGTTTCGTAAAACCAACAAACAAAGTTACCACAACTATAAATCAACACAAACGAAAATATCCTCAGGAGCAAGTGAGAACTCAAAGCGAAAACAAGCAAACTGCCTGAAGCCAAGCACTTTTGCATCTGATTGGTTGAAGTAACGGGGGCCAGTTTTCTAGACCAATCACAGATCGTAGTAAGGCAACCCAATGCAATCCCGGATTACTTCCAAAACACAATTGGAAATTACCTTATACTAGGGATACCGGTTACCTTGATTCTAAAGAAAATTCTCTAATTTTCTAAAGAGACTCCCCTTGGAGCGAGCCCTCTATGGGGGGGGGGGGGAAGGGGGGGGTCAGTCTCTGGTTAATCTTCCCTTGAGTAAAACAACAAGAGGGTAACAATTCACTGGAAAAGCACAAAAATGATAGAGCAAACCTTATGCCAAGTATCTGTTGCACAGGAGAAATTATCCCTGCCTGGAAAAAGAACAACAAACGTATAACATCAACAATAAATGAATGACACCTTCTCGATGACAAATCCGTTATACTCTTACCCTCATAAGCTCAGCGATGCAGGAATGATATATGGAAAATATTGCATTTACAGACGGAGGTCCGATGTACTGTTTGATATCTGCCCTGTTGATTGAGAGAAAGAAATGACGCCAGAATAAAATCAACAATAACAACAACAACAACAACAACACAAAAATAACAAACAAATTCATCATATCGCATTGTAGATGACTAAAAATGAAGGGTTCCATCCGTTTTACCACTGGACCTCCGAAACCATCTTCATTTACGTTGATAAAAGAAAGCTAAATCATGAAACCTTATTGAATAAATCGCAAACTCGCGTTTCCAAGGTGAAAGACCTTGTGAAGGTTATTCATTAAACTGCAGTGTAAGCGGGCTGTTTTATTGAGACGCACATTCGAAAAAAATCGCATTAAATCTCCACTAAACATACCTGTCCACAAATGCCAAGTCTATGGCTCCAGTTACATTAGAGGTGGTAAGGATAATTACATTAGGAAACCTAAAAAGGCAATAGTGTGTCCTTTATCAGGCAGGTGGTGCCATCATTTTCGAAGACATAATACGTTAATAATAACTGTTCTATTAGACTGTCGTTCGTATTATCATCGTAGACAAGAAATTGAGGGAAAGAGTAAGAGCGTTGAAAACGTAATACGGAAAGGTAGAAGGACAGCTTAAAAATAGGCAGGATAAGAAACGAGAGCGGACAGAGTGAGAGAGATCTTACAAGGAGAAAGGGCGAGAGTATAAGAAGCGATGGAACAAAAGAATCGAGATTAAAAAGAATGAGTACATATAACAGAGGGAAAAAGTGAGGGGAAGTCGAGTGAAAAGCATACAACGAAAGTGGATGATGATAAGGCAACAAGATCGGAACAAGAAAAAAAATATATGACAACACTTAGAATTCCGAGCAACTTCTCGTGTCTATTACGGAGGTTGTTTCGTCGATCAAATTAGAGACTAATTGACGAGTACATTAAGAGTAAGACAAAGGCTGAGTTTTGTCATCCACAGAGCTTTTCAATCAGGATAGAAACCCGAATCGTAGTCACACCTTTGATGCATTGAGAGAAACAGTCGCATACATGTGCCCGCGGCGAGGATAGGGAGCATGAGAAATTCCTGATGTTTCCCGTTGTTGTTACCGAGCAAAAGATGTTGTGTATGTAGACGAATGAATCAAGGACTCAGAAGTCTCCAGCTTTTGTGGAGAAGTGTCTCTAATGATATTTTAAAAGGACATGTTCCTTCGTGTGGACAAAGAGGAACTGTGTGTCTACAGTTCCTTTGTCTAGATTCCCTCCAGGCAAATCAGAATCAAATATTTTTGGGAGAATCTTCAATTTTACTCAAGTATCTCGGTCGCCTGTATAAGCTTATAGTGAGCCCGCCTCACTAGCCTCGGTTGACCGACTGGTTGAAGTCCACGGAGAAAATTGTCAATAAAGACCTTGGTGGATTATAGAGTGATTACCTTTTAATGTGATCAATTTGTGTAAGCAGAGCGTTCACCACTCTTATTGCATCTGAGGGCTCCTGGCCCTGCATCGCAGACTTCCGAGCTGCAGTCAAACTCTCAACCTGCCAGTTCACATAATGTCGCATAATTGAATGTCTTAAAACGGGTGTGTAACCCCCAAGGGGAGGTACATTAAATTAAACATTACATTACGGTAAATTTTTGTTGGGTATGTACTGCTAGCCTCTCAGAACCTCTTTCCCGTTATAGTCTATTCTGTGGCCAATTAAAGACCTCGCCTTCGTCACTTCCTGTATTTGTATTCTTCCTTACTTTCAAATCCTTTCTTACCAGGATTTTCCTACCTCTAAAATCCCGAAAATGTGCAACCCCTTTAGGTAATAGTTTAGAAAATACAACCCCATTACAGTCAATCCAGTTGAGAAAATGCAACTCACCCAGTGGTACATCCCCATTAACCAATTACTAGGAAGTAACCCCCTCCCCCCCCCAATCCATGGTATTATCCTCAGTTGCATTAACAAGAATGACAATTCAACAGAGCCAAAGAAAAGAAAAGAAAAAGGGTTTTAAAGTGTACTTCAGAAGATATGTACCTCATCAATCAAGACACAAACCAGTGCATCTTTGTCATCAATTAGTTCTTGGATTTTCTGGAACATCTTCATCACAAGCTTGCCACTCTGTTTTGATCAAGAGTACAATATAATTAAACGAAAGCAAAACAAAATAGAAAACTGTACAATGCTTAAACACTTAAAAAAGACAAAAAGAAATTGTTAAGTACGACACCAGAACTTTCCTCTGAAAACCACTTTGAAAATAAGCTATGACTGTTGATCTCTATCAGCTGCCCATATGAATACCTGGGAAACAAACAAACAAAATAATACTATGGTAAAAGAACATTCAAAGAATCAAATTGAACACAGTAATTAATATTTCTAAAAATGATATATATTTTCTATTTAAAGACTAATAATATTTAACGAAACAGGTAGCAGCATGGCAGAGTTGTTTGGGTGCTGAACTTGTTGTTGCAGGTTCAATTTTTCCAGGGTTTTCGGTAGCATCTGAAAGTGCCAGATGCAGTGGTTCAGCTGGTGGATGTACACCATTTGTGCTGCTGGTGTGAACGTTGAGTGCTGGGGGCACAAACTCCTGGGGGGTCTGGGGGCATGCCCCCTTGGGAAATTTGTAAAATTGGACTCTCTAAAGTGCAATTTCCTGTGCTCCCTGAGATGATGTACAAATAAAAAGGAGGAAAGACTGACTTGGTCAGATGCTCTCTGATCAAAGGTCAGGGTTAGTTGTCAGCAAACTTGTCTGGTCAGTTATAGCTGGCAGGGAGGGGGAAGGGATGAGGAATGTTGAATAATAATTTTATTATACATGTGTATGACTGGAATTATCTCTTTTTCTCAAATGTTTGCATTACATAACTAAGTGAGTAAAATAAGAGTCAAGTCTTTCTTTAGTTAATAAATGGGAAAACGATTTTCATATTTAAAAAAATTATTTCGTGTAAACTAATGTTGCGTCTCACATCCGGCCTGAAATGAAACCCCTGACTTTCCAACTTGCTGTACTCAGCACACTTGAACTTAGTTGTTACCAGTTTAACTCTCTGGCTGCACTTTTTCCAGAATCGGCCAGCTTCTCTGCCCCCAGTCATTAAGGGTTTTGGATAATTTACTTCAATCTATTGTTTTGGAATATTTTTTCCAATTTTTTTTTAATTAGTCCAGGAGTAGTGATCATTGATGCATGTTGCTTAACAATTTTCATAGTGATTTTAACCATACTATCATACTGCCTCACCGATCTGACAATCTAATGCTCAGTTTTTGAGCCAGAGCCTTGCAAAGGGATGTCTTCCCAGTTCCTGGTGGACCTTGTGCGAAAAAAAAAAATTTACTCTACACAGTCATTCATGAATTTTCTTGCTTTTGGCTTCACCCTAAAACAATTCCCAAAATTTTTCATCAGACTCCTCATAACCCACATTGTAGTCCAAGACTTTCCAGGCCTGGAAAATCCTAAATTCCATGACAGCCACTAACCCAGCCAAACCCTGCCATTTGGAGCAAAATTATCCAAATTCTTACCAACAAATTTCTTTGAGGTAGATAGTAAATTTGTAGCCCTTCATCAGAACATTAGCCCTGCAATATTTGCTCTCACAAAGGGATACTTCTTGGAACATTAGCTTTAGAAACTCTTAAGGGTGGCCAATTTAAATTATTAAGTTCACTCTATTGCTATCACCAAATAATCTTGTTCTTGCTTACCCTCAACCTGTTAAAAGGAAAAATTTTTATCCCTAAACTGAGAGAACACTGCAATCTCTCTCTATCCTTACCATGAAGGAGAATCACTCTATTCCATGATATTATGTTACTGTTCACACCCCTACACAAAACAAAGATCATTGCATTGTGTCAGTAGTGCAGATTCTACAAAAAACAGAAAATTAACAGAGAAATGGGGAATTCTCTTGTCCCATGAGTTTTTATCTGTTCAATTTATTTCAAGTGAAATCTCATGCACAATCTTTTCTTTTCTCTTGGTCAAAAATTGATAGGGTTGTAGAGAGGTAATTTCTTTCCATGTCTCACACTGAGTCTAGATCTAAATATATACATTCACAATGCTTTCTTCTATGGATTCTTCTTTAATTTGATATTCATCAACAGTATCTCTTCTAATCCTTCATCGTAAAGTTATTCAATGGTGCATATCAAGTAACAATAATTTCTGAGTTAAATAACAATTTTTGCCCTATCTAAGGTATAAAAAACATAGAAATAAGGGTTATTCCATGCCTGTCTGAGAAGAGTAATGTTGTCATTGCATAGTTTATCAGCTGTGAAAGAAAAGAAAGAGAAGAAAATATCACAATCATGATCTCAATATCAAAAACAACACAAGTTAAGAAAATTAAAGTGTTTTCTCACCTGGGCTTTGACGTCTGAATCAAAGATCAGACTTTCCCAAACTCCATGAAAATCCTCTGAAAAAAGAATGTTTTTTTTGGTCATATATTGAGGTAACTTCAAGTCCTTTATCAAATAAATCAGTTACTACCATTTCAGCAAAGATCTTTCTTCTGGTCTGCTTACACGGCTAAACTCACATTCAGGGGTCCAGAGGCTAGTAGTTTCAAAGTTTGCAAATAGCCAACTGGTTGGCTTCCTATGAGTTGGCATTTTAACCCCACAGCCTTTGGACAACATCTGACAATGCTAAGATTGAATAGAGATTATGATAATCATAAAAATTATCATAGATAATATTTATATTTTATCAACTGGAAATGGACTGACTGAGGCTCATACCAGAGGGCAGAAGCCAATGATTCGCTGCTGCTATGTCTTCTTCCAGCTCTTCTGTTGCTGGCCCATCATCATGCAATTGGAAAACATGGATTGCAAGTTTGCAATTCTTGAGATTACTCTGTTTAAAATAGAAAAAAAGTAAGGTGACATTGATGTATTGATATGACTATAAGCATATAGAACTTCTTAAAGGCTGGAGTCTGAAACAGGGATTCGCTTAGGTCTCTTTGTCTGGAATATGTAATTTTCTCGATTCCAAAAGAGCAGTTTTCATTTGACTATCAAAAGTAATCCTAGAGTTCTTTGGCTTTGCTTTACTTCTCTCTGTGATTGGTCTAGAAAAATTAAGCTACCATCTCAACCAATCAAATGCAAAACTTAAAACAATCCCTGTTCCTTTAAAGCAGGTTGCCTGTTTTTACTTTGAGATCACATTGTTTAATGATAATGTGAACCTTCATTCTAATTGGTAATGTTCAGTTGTGATTAATTTTGTTTTGGTTTTGACACTCATTGAAAACTTCTCTAAAATACAAGACTATTATTGTCTTAAAGACATTATCTTAACTTGTTTGCAGGTGACAATAATGTTTACCTTTGTTTTGATCGGTAATGTTCAGTTGTGATTAATTTGGTTTCGACATGCAACTTAAAAACTTCTTTAAAATACAAGATTAATTGATTGAAAGACTTTATATGAAGTAATAAGCATTATCTGTTTACCTGTCTCTCTTTAGACACCAAATCTGTGTCACAGACACTCACAGATTTCACATGTTCTGTCAAAAATCCATCTGTGAATTCCGTGAAGGTAGTGTCACCATAAACAGTTGCTTCACACATCAAAAATTTCCTCACATGCTCTTTTATAACAGCAGAGCGAGCTGTGCTATGTGTGCAAAGATTGAAAACAAGGTTTTATTCACATTACTTAAAAAAGTTATTTTTATTCAAAGTATTCTCTTAAATAGATAAATACAGACACATGTTGGGTTCAACTTAACACTGTCTTTTCTTGAAGCATGTCAAACTTTGCACTCGGCTGTAATGTCTTCAACTTATAAATGTAAGTCTTTCGGGAATTCTTGCATCCTAAGTGTTCAATTTTTGAAATACAAACTAGGTAATCCGCCGTCAGTCTATAAAATTTACGAGAATCTTGGATCTCTAATAATAATTTAATTTTTTACTATCATTTCGACCATCGACTAAACTTACCTGCATGGATCTTGCAGGACTTCAGCATGGTAGGTTAGAGGAGCTTGAAGAGGTAGAGCCTCTGAGAGATCATGGACTTGCTCCATAATAGGCGTTAATCTGATCTTACCAGTTTTTTACTGTTCTTAATCCTTCAAACATCCTTAATTTTCAAAGATACTCATTGCGGAAGAAAGATCTCGTTCAAATTTTTGCGCCAAGAAAAAATGAGCATGCACTACGTCCCAGCGGGCTCTTGTAATATGTACATGCGTTAATAGTAGGAGACAGTTCTAAACAGCGGATAAGAGCAAAAACATAAGCGCTCCGGGATATGCGCAGTTTCCGTTTCCGGAAGTCCCGCGCCACATTTGAACGGCATAGTTTACAGTGAAATTTAGCAAATATGGCTCTTCCTTCAGAAAAAGTTCATGAACTCAAGCAGATCATTCACAGTCATGTATCCCAAATGAACGTGCATTCTAGGATCAGGGACTGCGTGGATGAATCGTTCCGCGGGGAAGAGGCTGAAAGTGCAGGAATCGACGAAGCAGGACTATTGAACGCATTGAAAGAACGAGGCATCGTTGATGATGTGATGAATACGCTTAAGTTCGAAGGTCTTGAAAGAGATCCTGGACGATCAAAGGATAAAAGGAGGGTGAATGCCTTAGAGGAAGTCCCAGCAAGGGGTAATAACATGTTACTCTAGGTAGCTATGGCCGAGCTTTAGAATGTATGTGTAAACGATGCAAAACGTTTGTAAACAGACAACTGTTTCCGATTTTTTGAAACGCGATGGCAACATGCGTATCTACATGTACATTTGTGTATATCTTTTAACGAATCAGAGTCCCTTTAAAACGTTTTGCATGTGTGTTTCATAGAAGTTTTGATGAAATTTGAGTTACTCTTATCATTTCGGTTTTAAAAATGGCTTAACTCTGCAATTGAATGTTCCATATGAGGAAACAAATGTGCTAGATTAGTTAAGTTTATGAAATTGCAAACGAAAATTTTTGTTCTACACCCTTTGATTAATATTGTAGAACTAAAAGCTTATCATTCATGTCCCTACTTTAAGCATCTACCCTACCAATTATGATAGTTTTAACACATACATCCTGTAGTTGGTTTGAATCCAGGAGCAACATTTGATCCTGTAGTGTGATCATCCAGGTCAGAGTAGTGCTCCTGAGAAGGACTGCTGTTGATTGTGGTGACTGATTTTTTTATAACCCTAGCAGAAGTTATCATCACAGTTAAGTGATGACTTGTTTGTTAAGTCAGAGTTGTAAATTTGATTGATGTAATAGTCCTGTTGACAGAACAGAGCCACCTAACTTCAAGATGGATCAAAACTGGGCAATCTCCATTGTTTATAACTACCTGAGTCTTTCAATAACATCATGGCAAAACTGACCAATTCCAGCGAGGATTGCTCCTTGTTATTGCTAACTTTTTATGTATTTTTTAGTTGGTGTGGATCCCACCAGGCGTTACCTATACCTGCAAGTGTTAGGAGGCAAAGCATTTTTAGAACATCTGCAGGATCCTGAACCACTGCCAGGAAAAGTCACATCCACATTTACTTTGTATGTTCACTTTAAAGGACAACGATTTAAGTCCAGACCTGTTCCTTGTGCTTGTGAACCAGACATTAATGAAGGTAAATGATTAAAAGGGGTAAGTTTCTGAAGAAACTGTGGTGCTGTGTCAGTGGGAGGGTATAACAGGGTAATTTAGCATTATCAACTGAGTTGATAATGTAAATTGGCCACCAAAAAGAGTTTCAAAGCTGACACTTTAGGATGAAGGGCTAACGCTCGAAAAATCAGCTTTGAAACTCTTTACTGTGACCAACAAACAAAGGTATTCAGTTTTACTTACGATTTAATGTATTGTAGGTCTTATCAAGTGAGAGATGTAGTGATGTATTGGTTAGTGCATTGGACTCCAGGTTGAGGGGTCCAGATTTGAATCCTGGCTAAGTCATTGTGTTGTGTTCTTGGGCAAAACAGTCTACTTTCACTGTGCTTCTCTCTACCCAGGAGTAAAAATTGGTACCGGCAAATTGTCAAGGAAGCTTGATGAAATACTGGGGGGGGGGGGGACAACGTTGCTATGGACCAGCATTCTATTGAGGGGCAAGTAGTCATACTCCTAGTCACTTTGGGAAACAGGAATAAGCTCTGTCTTAAGGGGCAACTTGGCTTGAGAACAGACTTTGCTTTACTTCTCAAAATCCTGTCGTTTTGGCTACTATGACCTCCCTTTTATTTCTCACACAACATGTTTTCTGTAGGATTTTTGCTGGAACTACAAAAGGATGGTGGCAAAATGGCTGATGCAGCAACTCTTCTATCAATCTCAGATTACATTCACTTAGTCCTTATTAAAACAGATCCTTCAGGTGACACAACATTGATTGGTTCGCATTTCCTTCCATGGAGAGACATTCTGTCTGCAGCAAATGGAAGGTTAACATCTGCCGTGGAAATTAATGGTGTAGGGGCAGAGGCTAAAGTGCCGATGGGAATACTAGAGATTAAGTTTGAAATAATTCCAAGATTAAGTCAGGTGAGGTTAGACATGTATGTGCATGAACAGCTGTTTTCATTTCTTTTACTTGCATATCATCAGCAGGTCAAAACATGAATTGTTTTAGTTAATGGTCAGAACATTCTTTTACAGGAACAAACAAAGCTCTAAAATTTGTCTCTCTCAAAACATGTGGCTTGGTACATAGCTGGTAGAAGTGCCTTGATGGTATCTGAGAGACATAGTTCAAAGCCTGATTTTTGTCAGACCTCTTTGTCTCTGAGTTCTTTAATTACAGTTTCACATGCAAGGACCATTTTGTCTCCATAAAACATGCTATAAAGAAAATACTTTGGTTTCAAAATTTCAGATCATAACAAAAGAGGTAATCTCAGCACAAGTGAACTTGGAACACTCCAGAATAGCAGAAAGAGAGAGACTTTTCTTGGTATATGCAAAACAGTGGTGGAAGGAATTTCTACAGATACGTGCCTCTCATGGTAACAGACTTGTGAAGATTTTTGCTCAAGATGAGTGTGGTACCAATCGTCCTGTCTGCTCATTTGTGTGTCCTCTCCGCGCAGGGAGATTACTTGATAGCCCTCGGCAGGCTGCCAGGTTTGTCAGTCTATTAGGGTATGAGCATACGCCATCTGTTGGTGGTGGAAGGGCAGAGATGTGGAGCAGTTTGCATGCATTTCTCTGCAAAGGAAAAGGGGTAAGTAATGGATTAATAAGTTCAAAGAAATGGAATTTTAATGAATAGATTTAGGAATAAAAAATGCTGCTATTTATCAACCAACAATACCAGAAGTGTATCAATTTCAATTTTTTTGTCTGCTTTGTTTTGATTTGATTTTCATCAGAAAGAATGTATTTTGCTGTAATGTTTGCTTCTAAAATGTGGTGAAACATCATGATTGTGATGATATTACTACTTCAAGGATTGTGAGGATCATGCAGTTCTGTTGTGCAGTCTTCTTCTGGGTTTTGGCCTCAATGCATTTGTCTGTGTGGGCACCAAGGGAAAAGGTGCTGCCCATACCTGGGTTATGACAATCAGCCCTGAGGGAGAAGTCACCTTTTGGGAGAGTTTGACAGCTCACAGGTATTGTTTCATTTGAGTATTAAAAATTTCTTGATCGTTAATGACACTCATGGTGCCTTCCTCCTACCAGAAAAGTAGGGAGGTGCCAGCAAACTTTCTCTTTGTGATTAAGTCAACTCAGATTACCTGAAATTTACAGGAAAATGGACAAATGTTTGAGTTATTGTGTAAGGCCTCTTTTCTAGGCACAGCTCTCTGTGGAAAAAGTTATTTAAATCCCCAAAAATTATGTTGTGGATGACCTGAAGGGATACAATACTTACTTGGAGCTCACCGGAGTTTCGAAATTTCGAGTTCCTGAAGATAAAATTGCAGTAAATATATGAAGGAAATCCATGGGAAATTAAATTTGAATCAGGTCAGTCTGAGTTATTGGGGGGTTCATACCATCCATTTGGAAATCACTGGTGATTTCAGGAAATCTGACTGGCTCTCAGCAGTGCAATCTATTCACGAATCGTACGATTTTTTTCTCTTAATGACATATTTTTCGCAGCTATATGATTTCTTAGAAAAAGTTGCACTCCACCTAGTTCAATAACTGTTTCAAAATATCGGAGTACATGTTAATTGAAATTCAAGGGAACATATTTTGAATCAGGTTTGCGCGAGGTCCGAGGTGGCGAGAGATTTACTAATCTGATTATTGTGGCTTTGATTTTAGTGAAACCTACCATCTCACATAATCTTTTTATCTGGCATTTTATTGGACAGATACGCTCACCGCCCAGTGAACCCTGATGACCCCCCAGCTCTCAAACAGTCCCGCCCTGATCATCCTTACAGAACTGTAGGGTGTGTTTTTAATCATCGCACCTTTTACGCAAACAGTCAGGTTAGAAATCAAATCACAGCTTGGGAGTAACTCATCTGACTATTGTCAATTGTCTAGAAAAAGTCCCGCCACCATCTCAACCAATCACATGCGAAAAACGTAAAATCAATCGCGACGTAGTCACTCAAGTTTTCCCGCTTTTCGAGCAGTTTTAACTCTGACGTCTTAAAGCGCTTTTGATTACGTGTTGTAAAACCAAAAACCAATTAAATGTATCCAGGACTGCCAATCGGAAGAGAGGAAAGTACCTTTAAAAGTAAAACAACCGAACTGCCTACAGCGCGGGAAAAGTGCTGGCGACTACTTTGTGATTGGTTCTGATGGGTTGATAGCGTGGTGCAAGTTTTCTGGGCCAATCACAGAGCGAAGGAAAGCGATGCCAATGCAATATCGGATTACTTTCGACATTTGAATGAAATTGCGCCGTAGGCACGTTGTAATATTTGCCTTCCTTGGTATTGGCTGTTGAGTGTTGAGATTATTTTGGGTTGCACACACGAGCCAACTTTCTCCTTTCTTCAGGTCACCAGCGCACCAGACCTTTTTCTTTTGCGCATTTCAACTGCTGTGTCGACATGTTTTGTGAATTTGCATACACAGGAAAGTTTGGGTCTTGGAGAAGAAGTTGCAGTACCACTTTGTAGAAAACTGGTTTGCCTTGAAAAGAGTTACATGACATTGAATGAACTTCTGCAATGCTGCAAATCTTTCTTTCATAAAGAAATATGCCCAGAATATAACACTGCCGCTAATGTGATTTTTAAACATTCTTTTGAGAATGCAGTATGCATATCGTGATGTAATATTGAATAATGATCATTGCAAAATTATTTTCAGCCAACAGATTCTGTTGAAGTTTGTCAATTTGAACTTCAGAATGAAGCTCGGTGGAAGTGTATGAGCGAAGAGGCGTTACGATCCGTGTGTGGGCCTAAAATATTGGTAAATAATCTTCTACGTTTTTCCTCATACGCGATTTGCCGTCCCTGTTGTTTTTCTCAGTCGTTAGTCATTCTTGCTTCTTTTTTCCTCTCATCTAATCGTTTGGTGTTTTTCTAGCGTAACAAACTAACATTGTTAAGTTTTACCTACATCCCAAAACTGGCTCTAAATATAGCCTGGACTAAAAGGTATATGGTCTTTCTTATCGCAGCCCAGCGGCCCAGTCTTCCCTCCCCTGTATCCTTCTGGTGTTGACTCATCCCTGGTTAGTAATGACATGGAGCACGAGCTAAGGAGTTTGGTAACGGATCATAGAAGGGTAAAATTATGATTTAGATTTAAATATCGCAACGGCCACTTTGAATACACGGGCTTTTCTCTTGGATTAATTTTGGATGCTGGTCTTATTTGCACTGTTCTGTCTAATATGGGTATCGATCACTCTTTATACTTGTGAAATAGACGCACCAGCTACTTTCTTTCGCAGTAGTTCTTTGAGATATCGCACAATGCTTCCCCACTCCCACTCCGTATATAAGCGTTGGGTATAAGAGGGGCGTTGCGTGACATTCAAAGATCGGCTGTGACGGAAACAACGCATGAGTCTGATGTTTGGTGAATTTCTCATAATGCTTTAGGATTTGGGCTTAAACACTGCATGGGATGACGAGTTGAGTTACATTCTCACACCGGCTCTCGCTGCTTATGAATTGGAGCACAGCACGGGTGTTTCCGCCGGAAACGAAGAGTTTCAACAAGCCATAAGACGAGCAATTCCTGACGGTCACACTTTCAAAGGGTTTCCCATCCAGTTTGTGCATCGTAACGCAAGACGGGCATTTGCCACGTGTCTGAGGTAAATTGCGTTTAATTTATAACTCATATGTTTGTGAGGCCCCTAGAAGTCTGGCTTTTTCCGTGAATACAGGCCAGGCCAAATGGCATTTAACTCAATTTCTTCCTGCGAAAAACAGACAAACAGGTTGTTTGCATGTTTTACTAAGATCTCAAAATTTATCTCTGATGTCCTTTGTTTTTCGTCCCATGTTGAAAAGACCCAACAGTAAAAAACATCCCATTGAACCCAACAAATGCAAACGTTTTCCCTTCGTTATGTAAACGGCTGAGAGACAGTAGGCAAAAGATCATATCTTGCTGTTTTGCCTTCCTCATAAACTTTTTTCAGAATCCTCAAATCCTAACCTAACCTAACCGTTCGCGAACCTTGTGGCTCGAATATTATTCCTGCGGCATACTTCTTCGGCCTGATTTGAACTTTTTTTCGAACAACTGTAAAAAAGGGTAAAAATTATGTCTTTCCCAGGTCACCGGTATGTGAAGAGATCATTTGCTGCCGCGGTGATCACGTGAGATTGGCAGTTCGAGTCCGAGTGTTCACCTACCCTGAAGGCGCTTGCGCAGTATGGATCATGTTCGCTGTCAGATATCGATCAATTTTGTAGATAAAATGAGATTATAATTTTAGTTTTTAAATAAAGCACTTAGTCATCCACCACAATTTAACTCCCGAGGCGCCTCAAGTCTACGACTTAATATCTTCTGGCCGGGCCAGCCGTGTTTAGACTGCGGTTTTCTTGGAACACGGGCTCTTATTACAGCTGGAAATGGAATCGACAGAGCCTTGGTTTCGCTAGAGAGGGCAACTTGTCTTACCATTTATTCCTTTTATCGGAGAGAAAAGGATATCAACCGCTCAGCTACGGAATGGCTTCTTTGTCTCGGAAAAACTAACCATAAACTTGTTATTTATTATTTCCTCCGCTTTGTCTTGTCTTTTTACCGAACAAACTTTACGGAAGGAGAAACGGCGAGAGGAGAAAAGTTTTCCAACTCATTTAACACGATAGGTGAATCTCTGTTGACAAGTATCTCCATATTTCCATACACGTTTCTTTCCCTGAGAGAATGACAAAGTCAGTTCCGAATCTTTTAAAAGCCATAAAACAGACACCACCTGCATAATTTGTTTTTTGTTCAGAGCGATGCTATGAGGTTAAAATTATAATTTTAAGAATATATAGACCCATTAACACTGGTAACAACCAGAATGACTGATATCCATAAGCATTATGAACCTAGAGCTGAATTTTACGACTGCTAAGTAAGTAAAACGTTTCCTGTAAAGTCATTCTATTCTAAAAATGATTCCGTTTTTAAGTTCCAGTTCAGATGTCGTGCCCCCTTCGTGTCGAACTTAATTCAGCAATTAAGTTCGATAAAAGCGCGGTAGAAGCACAGTGTCTGAACGAAACTTTTTAATTAAGTTCGGCGAAGCAATCAAGTTCGACAAGCTTCTCCGTGCTACACGATCCTGACAGGAAAGCGACTCAAACATCATGCCTCTGCCTAGCCAAACAACATTCATATATTATATTTAATGCATTTTGGTAGGATTGTCACGTAGCTTCAGTAAATCCTGAATTTCGTACGACTCTAGCCAGATGTCTAAATTAGAGTCGTGCTTCTGCCGTGCTACGGTCGAACATAATTACAAGAAAGTTCGGCACAGCAGAAGTACGACGCCTGAACTGGACCTAAGTCGCTTTGTAAACTCATGACGAGTGAAATTGAGACAATGACGTCAGTAGAATTCGCCTCAAGCTGGTACTGGTAATGATTTCCCTACACGCTTATCGCTGCTTATTGGAGGAAAACGTTTTTAAGACATTATGGCATAATAATACTCCCTGGCGCCTCTAGGTAACCAGAGATCAGTCACATTGTTGACTGAAACTTGAGTTAAGCTCACTTCTAGACAAATTGTGTCTGTGTATTGAATATGTATATAGTTCATGAAAATAAAACAGAAATGTCCCTTACTTAATTTCTTTACTTATATATCCGATGATATTTTTCGTGTTTTTATAGGTGTTAGTAATTGGTGATGGAGAATGGTAATTGTTTTTTGCTCTTGTTGATAGCCGTTGGGTTTTTTTTTTCTCTTTGTTTGACAACTTTTTGGAAATTGACTGTTTTCCCGCAAGGTTGCACAACACCGAGAATCCTCCAAGCCATACAAAACTAAAATTTGCAAGAGCATGCATTAAGCATTTGCTGCCGGGTTAACGCATTTTAAATCTGTAGATTGGCCTTCTATACAAGATTGGCTTCTCCTTTCCTTGAAATATCATTAAATTGTCTTTCAGCTGCCCAAATTATTTTCAGGGCATTCTCGATTACCTTCTATAAAAGTGAGCGTGCACTGTTCCAATCAACTTGTGGTAACTTTGTTCGATAGCAGGCGTTTGATGGTTTATCCGAGTATCACTAACGCAACAAAGAGTCTTTTAAAACGACAATAACAAACGCGATGGCGCTTAATTATTAGTAATTATGAAAGAAAAATTTCCCATTAATTTACCCATAACTCAGGTGTTATCTGCAATGCATATTTTGTAAAATTTAACGACCATTTTTTAATTATGTTTTGGCGATAAAGTGGGAGTCTGGATTTCACTGTATTAGAATTGGGCGTTTCGTTCGAATTTAGGATTAAAAAAAACCGAAATGAGAAATAAACTCAGATTTATTTCGGGCAATTGCGATTGAGTAACCATGAAAATTAGGAAAACTGAAAGTTGCTTCGATCTAAAACTTCTTTTCACATTTTAATAATTAATTGCGTTCGGGTACCTTTTATGCCGAATGTTTTTTAAACTGCAGGTGCGAAATACTCATCTAGAAAGTTTTTTTGTATTAAAAATCCATTGAATGGGTATTCCTGAGATTCAGGCTGGACGTTGAAAAGTTTTGGAAGATTCATGTTCACATAATGTTTCCAAATTGAAAACAAAAGGATCGTGTAATCATTCATCAAATATTTGGTCCTCGTCATCGACTCAAGTCAGAAAATAAATTTTTTTTCATTAACTCGGGACGGAACGTGAGTAATTATTTATTGACACATTTTATTTGTTATTCATGACAAAGTTTCCGATAGGTCGCAGTTAGTGTCTACAGGGAATATGTTGCATGTTCCTACGTGTACACTTTCTAAGGTAAGCCTTTTTGTAGGAGTTTCCCAGCGCTGGAAAGTTTCTTGAACCCAATGCGAAATGATGTTGTCTAGAGAGGAAGCCTTTTCTTTCGCCGGTATTTTATTGGCCATTTTCGTGTGTGGTCTCGTGGGTAACTTTCTTGTCTGTTTGGCGATTTATTTTGACAAAGACCTTCGCCAGCAACACTCAAACTATTTTCTTTTTAACCTCGCCGTGACTGATCTTCTTACAGTGATCTTCGTGATCCCATTTTGTGCTGCGGCGTTGATTCAGGGGAATTGGAATTATGGCAACGCGTGGTGTCAAGCAACAGCTTTTGTTTACTACAGCTTGGCCATCGTTGGCCTTGAAAGTTTAGCGTTCATAAGTTGGGATCGTTTTTACGCCATTATCTATCCACTTAAGTACAGGGCAAAAGTAACACCCAGGAGAATCTACGTGGCTATTGCTTTCAGTTGGATATGGGCGTTTATTTTTACAATCCCCTGCGCAGCCATGGGTTGGTTTAGGTATGGAGAGTACGAATCGATGTGTACTTATAACTTCACCGGTACAGGCAATAAGTGGAAAATACGAGTCGTAATTTACAGCGTTCTAACAATTACACTCTGTATCATGATTCCATCGGCTGTGATACTCTTCTGCTATTTTCGAATAATCTCCGTAGTGCGACATCAAGGAAGACGAGTGGACACCATAACTTCGAGAGAGATGACGAATTCTAATAACTCGCGGCGCCAAGCATGGAGAAGCTGTTACAGATTTAAAGGTTTTCGAACAATAACTGCGGTCATAATTTTGTTTATTATTTCGTGGACTCCCTTCAGTGCAACTCGCTTTATTAAAACGGTAACGTGGGACCATGAATATATTCCCGCTGTCGCGGATACATTTGCAACTGTGCTGTCTTTGTTTAGCACAGCCGCCAATCCTTTGGCCTACAGCCTCTTCAGAAGGGACTTCAGAAGAGCTTTTAAAAGGCTTCTTAGACGAATATGCTGTTGTGCTAAAAGGAGAGTGGACGAAAATGAAGAGTAGATGAAGGGCAAAAGGGGTCGTGGTGAAATATTTTGATATTGGATATGGAAACACTTGAGAAGAGAAATTTAAAGGGTTTCGGCGTAGACAAACCGTGATTCAAGATGTCACGCTGTTTGAAACGCAGAATCTTTTTTTAAAAGGGAGTCTTCAAAACTGAACAAGAATATGTTACGGTGGAGAAAGGTGAACCAGCTCGATTCTCAACAAATCACCTCAGTTGACTTCAAGTACACAAAACCGTTTTTAAATGTAAATGGAGGACTCAATATAGACACCTTTAATCATGACTAAAGCTGTGAACAGACATTGCGTATGCAGTTTAAGACGAGGAAAAAAATGAATATAACGAGTATGAGAGGAGGAATTCAGGAAAGCCACCACGATAATTTCATCTGGTCAGGGGATCTTCAAGACTAATGAACAAGAATATGTTCTACGTCGGAGAGGAGTGAGGATCGAAACTTGTTCGAATTCTAGTTTTTTTCCCAATATTTCAAACGCCAAGAACCAAGCTGACTCTCAATCAATCACTTCAGTTGACTACAGGCACACAAAACCGTTTTTAAATATAAATGAAGGACTATATACACCTTTAATTATGAGTGTAGTTGTGAATTAAACTTTAATTTTCATTGTTAGTTTGAAAAGAAGGGGAAAGACCATATGCTTTTCAAGTAAACACATTGCTTTAGCGAGCTGAAAGTGTTAATAGCTCTCTTTGAGAACAACACCAGTTGGCCATTTTTATCCTCTTGACTTTCGGGGTGGTAAAATTAGAATTCAGTACGACATTGTTTCCGATTCTGTTTCTTTGGCAATTGTTTCCTTTATTTGATACTGTCTTGAAATTGCCTGATACTGTCATTGAAACTCAGATTCTGCCATTAAGGCGAAGAAAAGCTTGATCAGTAAGACAAAGAACTTGTCAAAGTTAGTTTGTTTTGTCTTTCAAACATCCAAAGCTGCAATAAAACTGCATCAAAACAGCGGCCGACTAACAGCCTTTTGCAAATATTTGACTTGCAGTTTTATTAATTTCGAGATATCCATCTATGAAAGAGCTCCATTGTTATTCAAATCATCGGGGTAAAGTTGCTTGTGACCTGTTTCTTGAAATTTATAAGCATTATTTTCAACTTGAGTTCATTATTGACCAACGCGGAGATATTTTATGAGAAAATCACTCAAATGATAATCGTAAAAAAAAGTGATAAAATTTTATTTTATTTCCAGTGATTACCTTAACAAGACTGTAGACTTACTAAACAAATATTTCATTTCCACTTTTACATTTCATCATTGATGAATGGCTTTTTTTCCGCTTTGATGCTATGTTATTGACAGTTCATTGCAAAAAATAAAAAACAAACAAAACCGAGACAAGAAAAAAGTAGCGAAAGTAGCGGCAAAGTTTTAAGGGAAGTGCTTTGACATGGAACAAAACTGCGGTAGATTTGAAGTATATGGGGTTCAGTTACCCTCTGCAGGAAAGACGAAGGATAATCAATAGAGGCAACAACAAATGGCCAATGCTTCCTCTCCTTAGAGATGACAGAAAGACGCAGGAGAGGATCAGGGAGCATGACAGGGGTATCCGACTCGCTGATGCACGGACTTCCGCCGTTTCAGAGCACGCCTACAACACAGAACACCGCTCGCTTTAGAGCGAAGTTAAGTTTATTGATCGTGAGTCCTTTTTTTAAGACAAGTAGGGTGAAAGAGGCAATCCACTTAACAAATAGATTCCAAGTTGCCGTGCGTCTGTTCAGTAACAGATCAAAGATGACGTCAAAATGTGGTAAGAACAAAAAAGTGGCACACGAGGCGCAGCTGATGTTCTTACCATATTTTGACGTCCTCTGTGATCTATTACTGAACAGACGCACGGCAACTTGGAATCTATTTGTTTTATATAATAAAGAATTAAAAATACGGAAAAAAAGTTTTAATAATGACGTCGTCTATACTTCTGTCCTCTAATAGATCATAAGTGAGAACCAACCAGAATGCGTGCATAACTGAGCTTATTATATAAATAAGAATGCACCCTAAGAACACCAAGAAGAACAATGGAATAGAAATCCCAGAAGCATGGTACTGACAATCATAAAAACTTAAGAGCTGAAGAGCCGGACCACAACGAACTGCTAAGGGAACATTCCGTCGAAATGCGTCAATCACAGCTGAGCAGAACGGTTTATAAGGTGACGCGTATTTAGTCAACCATGTTGCCTGAAGAAGACTCGCAGTCGTCTCGTACCCAGACATTCGACGGCCAAGCGGTTGTAAGTTTTGGTTACAGTTAAACGGTAGGATCTGGGTACGAAATTAGACTCGCAGTATACAGCCAAACCGTTGCAATTTAAATCTGATTTTAGTCGTGAGAAAGACGACTATACTTCATATACAAGTGATACGAGATTACGAAAAGCTTACAGAGCGTTTTCCGTAGTGTCGAGGACCCAAACCAAAGGCATATCAAAATTTTAATGTTGTGATGTACCAGCGATTTTTTAACAGCTTTCTACCTTGAACTGGTGCAGAGCCCAAAAACAATTATTGCATCTCATCGTAGATCAGCATTTATTCTCTTGACGCTATCATTTAAAGAGTTTCGGTGTATTACTACATACAAAAAAATGTGCTAATGGAAAAAAACCGAAAACAAACACGCCTAACACCAGCTCCTTCGACATTCGATTTCGAATTTTAACAAATTCAATGGGCCTCTCATGGTCTCAAATTGTATTTACAAGGGGTCAAGTTACTTGAAGACAGTAAAAAGCAATACTAAAAAACACAATACCGAATTTTTACCCTATGATTCGAATGAGGGCGGAATTCTTTAATTTATCGGAAGGTCAAATAAATCATGTGCTCATATTTCGTGACGCTCCTGAGGCCTCTTTACCTCATGCTGCTTTTTACGAAGTTTGGAGGTTTCAATTCAAGCTTTCCAGGGGAACAGCATCCTATCTTGAGCTCCTTAAGCTTCAATGGGATATCTTTTGACAGACCAAGAAGATTTCGATATTGTGAAATGTTCTACGGATTTTCATATTCGATAGGTCTATGAAGTGGAATTAAGTTACGAATTTGACACAGTAGATCGCGCGACAGGTGCTGACTTATTGGGAGATTTTCGCTTCTAAATAGGCATTACCTTCAACTTCCTGTCTTATCTGACATTTTTGTTTGGACGACAACAAATTTATGCAATCGGACTTCCATCAAAAGTCTGAGTTACAACGAACCTCAGTAATTTTGATGGGGTTTGTTCACCATATTTACCAGTTCGATATCGTCATCATCATAGAGAATTCAATCAAGCCACCCAAAATCTCACCTTAAATCCATTAAATCCTTCACGAATTCAAGTTGATATGGTCGCTCAGGAAGCTAACCACCCACATGTTCTCCCGAAAATAGTAACCAGGACAAGTGGATCAAAGAGTGCACCTTCAGATTTGACATGAGCAAGAATCGATAGTGAAAGCTTTTCTTCATTTGGTGGGATGTTAATGATAGGGACATTATGGAGTCCTCAGTTTTTTTTTTCAAAACGCTCTTGGTGATGGTGGTCTGCCATCAACAGAATGCATGCATCGTAATTTTTAATTATTTTCAGCTAAATATTGCCGTGATCATTGCGCAAATTTAAAGGAAAATCCTCCCAAAGTTGTGGCTTTCAAAGTCCTCGCATTTTTCAAAACAACAAGAAAAACCTGCATACAGAGCTGTGTCGTGATCCAATAAATAAATTAATTGTTGCACTTTTCTTCGCGAATTCCCCACAATGAATACCCATCTTTATGAAATATTCAAATAAACAGAAGTATCTACCCACGCTATTTGCATTTTTGATGGGTTTCGCGTGGTGATATTGCCATGTTTATGTGATGAGTTCTACAAAAAACACTTTGAAATCTTCCTAGTTAAACATTGCAATCTTCAATCTAAATCAAGGACAGAGAAATGAACTCTACCATTCATTCTGATAGGATCAATTCTCTCAAAAAGAATAATACCATTCACATTTATTCGAATTTTTCACCGAGTGATCCTTTCCAGCGACCTTGGGTTGAACCTTCACCGAACTGGATCAAAGCTCTCAAGAAACTAAAATGGCTTTGGGAGCTTCACGTTTATGGCTTTGCAATGCTTTTTGTAGCAGTCGCATTTTACTCGGCAGTTTGCCTCATAGCCTCACACAAAACGATTTTTACCCGACAAAGAGTTCATCGCGTAGTGATGAACCTCGCTTTGCTTGTTGCGGGATTTCTTCGATCTTTGATCCTCTTTTGGGATCCTTATGCCTCCAGTAGCGACACAACAGACTTGCAGCTCCTCTTATTTATTATTTCTTGGGGAATATCCACAGCTTGTATCACATCAAGTTTTAGCATCATGCTTCTGATCTTTTTGGAAACTACTAAGACCTCACTGGGTCCCGCCCGCCTTAAAAACTTACCGTGCCTGCTTTCAATAACTCTGGTAAACATCTTTTACTTACTGGTGTCTGACTTAGTGGTTTGGTTCCATCCTGAAGCGAAAGTGATGATCTTTACTTGTCATGTTACATTTGCGGCCTGGGGACTAGCGGTGTCAGTTGGGTATTCAGTTGCCGGAATCAGAATGTGGCGCAATTTAAAATCATCGTTGGGTGAGAATGCTTGCTGCTGCAATTCAGCGCTGGATTCCAAACGCCTAAATCAATTATTTTTTCTAATGTGTTGGGCATCTTTTTGTGGAATGATAAAGTTCTCGCTGTCGCTATACACTGCTATCGGGGAGTATGGCGTTTTTGCAGATATCGTTTACGTTAAAAGCTGGCCTTGGTTTGCCGTTCAGACATCACTGAGGATGTTTGAATTTCTGATGGGTTTGTCTATTATCAACTTATCTTTTCATAATGTAATGACGAGAAATAACGACAAAAATACTCGAGGTGTTCAATTGGAAGAACTGAACAGGCCCTCCTATTAATCAATTCTTGTTACCATCGCTTTGGAAATAAGCAGCTAGTCGAAAAGAAAGAGTTACCTGAAAGAAACTGTTGTATATACTTAGTAAGCGTGTTCAAACACTTAGTGCGCATAGTTGACGGTCAACCGGACACTTGAGGTCACAAGAAGTGATTAGGTTTTAAGCCCAAATCTTAGCGGGGGCTTGTCTTTTTGAAAAATAGCGCTGCGTCAGCACAATGTATGAGCGTGTGCAAATGTACCCACTCAATTGCAAACGTTGATACCTCAAAGGCATGATCCATGAACGATGAGTTTCAACGACTTGTATACTATGATTGTGCTTCATGTTCTTAACTTATTAATTAATAACAGAAGCGCCTATGACCTTTTATGTCGAATCTTTGGGAAAGCCAACTAAATGTCGATTTTAGGTGGTGCAATGATAAAAATTGTTTTTTCTTGTCTTTTAAGTATGTCAGGTGGTAAATCCATTTTTTTTTCCAACCGCGGAGCTCCAGTCGATTTGCATTGAGAGAAGAAGTGACATCAAAAGTTAACAGGTGAATTTGTTCAGTTATAAAGTCCAGCCTACTTGCGTGCCTAACAGAAACTTACCCCACAGAGCGCATAATTTCGTGCTGCGCGAGGTGCATGCTTATCTATTGCACTGCATGTTATAATGTTAAGATGTCAAATTTCAAATCAATCATCCTAAACTTTACATGGATTTGCATCTTTAAAGGTTAGGTTTATTGATTCATCTTACCGCCAACGCAGACTCTTCTTTTTATCCAAGACTCAACGAAAATGATAATTCTTGTTTAAATAACTCAGCTGGATAAAGTTTTCCCTTACGGGCTTGAAGTCACAATACATAACTGCCCTGTAGAGCTTGGATGTGCTAGATTAATCGTAAAAAAACCCATTGCAACTCCATATTTTCATTTTCATTTATGTAACTCAGTAAAAAAAGCATCCCAGAGTGTTATTAACCAAAAGCGTTGCAGGACTCATTACACGTAGGTGTAGGAGCAACTTTTTAGATGATATTTATTTTGCCTGGCCTGCTTGCGATCATAATTACAATATAAGGCTTGTATATAGGCTATTAGGAGTTAGCATATACCACACAAGTGATTACTGCTTATCTTGCGGCGGGCTGATTGGCTGGTTCGGTAGTGAGTTTCAAGTACTATCCACCTCCGAGCAGCCGGGGAGACAAATTCGCGCGTGGGAGTTTAATTTCCGACCATTTTCGATATGTTGAAAGGAATAAACTAATTTTTTTGGTATGTTTGGTATATACTAAAACAATTATTCAACTTAGTGTCAGTGAAAGTGGTGTATATTTACCGAGCCCAGAACTTAGGTGAATAATTGTTTATTATTCATTTGTTGCGATAAACTGGATTGTGCGTTTGAATCAGATACACCCAATGAACTCTTTCATGACTCAATTCAAGGTACAAAGACTACTGACATATCCGTGTATGAACATATGTCAAATTTCAGTTGCTATCAATGTGAATACACCCCCTTGACATCAAATGTAAGCTAAGTGATCATCAAAATTATCTCTTCAACTCAGCGAAATTGAAACTTTTACATTTTAATTATACTTATCCGTGTGATAAATTTTCACAGATTTGTGGCCAAAATGTTGCTTTTTAATTAGTAGCTGGGCTTTAAAATGAACAAATATGAAATCGTCGCATCACCTTTTCTTTCTTTCAGCAGAATTTTTTTTAGACTTAAAGAGCAACTCGGTGGTTCTTTCAACAAATAGTATGAATCACTAAAAGACAACAGGGATTCTCCGAGCCACTTTGTAAGTTCTTTTCGAGCTGCTTATTTTTATTATTACACCAAATCTGGTTAACAGTTGCATTTTCAGAACCACATTCGCATTAAAAGCTGTCAAAATCGACAAATAATGTGAAAAATCTTTTAATTTAAATTCAAATCAACTTCCTTTTTACACTTATATTAAAAGTAGGAAAAAACATCCTTTTGCTACCCACGCAAACGTCAGATTACTGAATTTTATAATTTAACCAGAATTGAAAACAATCACCTTCATTTATCACTCAGCCGGATGAAGCCTTCCCAAACGGATTAAAAAGCTTAATTCTGCTCTACTCTTCCCGGATATTTGATTAAACATGTAAATCATCTTTATATGTTTTAAGCCAGACAGATCTCAAAGATCAATACAGTTTTATCTAGGACTATTTGCTTACGGCTCACCATTTAAGCTCGCACATACTGAAGTGGCGGGCAAGGTCAAGTGTAAAATAAGACGGCTGAACCGTGGTACCACAGATGAGACTTTGGAACTTTGCAAACTTTGTCAGTGTCCCACCTACAGCAAACGAAAAAACATGACATCGAACTCCAACAAAGACGAAAAACCTCATCACTTTTCTTCATCAAATGAGTCGACTGGCGACAACTTACTTCGTAAGTGGGCTGAACCTTCCCCAAACTGGCTAAAAGCCATCAAGGAATGGAATTGGCTGTGGAAAGCTCATGTCCATGGTTTCGGAGGACTTTTTGTTCTTGTAGCGCTGTACGCGATTATGTGCTGTATCGCTTCTCGTAAAACTGTCTTAACACAACACAGAGCCCATCGCACTGTAATGAACTTCATTTTGCTTGTTGCGGGATTTCTTCGATCTTTGATCCTCTTTTGGGATCCTTATGCCTCCAGTAGCGACACAACAGACTTGCAGCTCCTCTTCTGCATTATTTCTTGGGGAATATCCACAGCTTGTATCACATCAAGTTTTAGCATCATGCTTCTGATCTTTTTGGAAACTACTATGACCTCACTGGGTCCCGCCCGCTTTAAAAACTTACCGTGCCTGCTTTCAATAACTCTGGTTAACGTCGTTTACTTACTGATGTCTGACTTAGTGGTTTGGTTTCATCATGAAGCGAAGGTGATGATCTTTACATGTCATGTTACATTTGCGGTCTGGGGACTAGCGGTGTCAGTTGGGTATTCAGTTGCCGGAATCAGAATGTGGCGCAATTTAAAATCATCTCTGGGTAGAACTTTCTTCAACCGAGCGTTAGACAGAGACTTCAGACGACTTAAGAGATTATTTATTCTGATGTGTTGGGCATCTTGTATAGGAATATTCAAGTTTTCGCTGTCACTGTACAATGCTATTGGGGAATACGGTGTTTTTTCCGATATTGGTTATGTCAAAAGCTGGCCTTGGTTTGCGGTGCAGTCATCTTTAAGACTTTTAGAGTTTCTTATTTGCTTTTTTATTTTCCTCATTGCCTTTAGGAATGGGAAAAATAACAGTCACACCAACCCTGAGATTTGTTCCAATGAACTGAACCAACGACAGCATTTAGAGTCGAATGTACCCAACTAAGCGGTGATTACTTAGCATGACTCAATAGGATATGAACAAACCAATCACAAGAGAGGAAGGCTTACAATAAAGCATCAAGGAAATGATAATCAATCAACTTTACCGAGTCAAAATAAGAAATACCATTCTAAAAACTTCAATTAATTTGGCGCTGATTATCAGTGACTTCCATTCAGGTTATCGAAACTTAATTAATCATTTTACTTCCGGCATTCGTTTATCAGGTGTACTCCAAAACTCAGACGATCAAAACCTGATCATAAGTTGATATGATAAATATAATATCTAAGAAATAATTAATTTTAGGAACGTTCTTAAGCTCCCGATTTTCGGATCGACTCATCACGGTACAGAGATTTTAACCCTTTAACTCCCTTGAGTGACCAAGACAGAATTTTTTCTTACAATATCAGTACAGTATCAACCAGATAAGCGATGAGAATAAAGAAAAATATCAGTTGGGGATAATTGGTCGATCCAATACTAAATGAACTAACTGTATGGAGAATTTCAAATTTGATCTGGGAGTTAAAGGGTTAAATGGTGGGGGATGGATTTCTTCACATCGGTCATTAGCAGAAGTTCACCACAGGACAAGAATGTATTTATAAGAATGCCATACAAGTCACAACTCCACCATGCTATAATATTGCCTTTCCAGGCAAATGGTTGATTGTCGAGTACGAATCGCGCTGTAGTGCGTGTGGTATGTGCTCACTTGCCATGACAAGGCTTGCGTGACGAGCGTTTCTCCCTAGTCTCACTCTACCTTTCTTCATGGCGGGCTCCAAACCTTTCACTGAGCTCTGTATACATTTATTTAATGATCGCAAAAAGATGAACTTCACTCCTGCCTGAACAGAATAGAAAGAGTATCCAAAATTGTTGACTTTTAAATAGTTGTACGGCGGCTGCTGTAAGACTGCTCTATACGTCACACAGTAGGTCACGCTATCACCTTTTCTGATACCTTGTACACAAACGTGAACGTGTACCCAAGAGATATTTCCTTGTAATGGACCAGAACCCGCTTGGTGGTGAGCAGAGAACCAGGTAACTTTCTATGATTGCGTGATATGCTGTACGTTACAAATAGTTTTCCCCCACACTACATACCTACAGAATACGTGCCACCTCCTTAATAAGTGATGGCGACCGCCATATGTATGGAGACCATTAGAGCGGAAGAGCTCGAGAAGGAAACTCACAAGGACTTTAAAGACGAGTTGCTTCAAAAACTCAATGAGTTCAGAGAAACGAACATTCTCTGTGATACGATAATTCGAGCCCAAGGACAGGACTTCCCTGCTCACAAATGTGTTTTATCAGCTGCAAGCCCTTACTTCCGGGCCATGTTTTCGAATGAATTGCAAGAAAAGGAAAGTAACCTTGTAGAGTTACGGGAGATCAAATCTTCGACACTTACTGATGTTCTTCGGTATATTTATACTGGTGGAACAATAATCGATTCTTCCAACGCGAAAGATTTGGTGATTGCCGCCGACTATTTGATCATTCCAAGTTTGAAAAGGAGAGCAACCCTTTTCCTCGAAGGAACATTGAATGCCTCTAATTGCCTGGCTTTGGAATCGTTTGCTTCTCAGTATAACTGTGAATCACTCAATAAAGCTGCAGTTTCCTATAAGATGGAAAATTTCGTAGATGTCACGAAATCCGAAGATTTCAGATTGCTTGATGTGGAGAAAGTTAAAGAACTGATTTGCATGGACGAGATAAACGTGGCCGAGGAAGAGGAAGTGTATGAAGCAGTGATGGCCTGGGTGAAACATGATCTATCATCCAGGGAATCTTTACTTTTGGATCTCCTGAAATTTGTCAGACTTTTTTCAATATCCAAGTACAGACTGCGAAAGATTTTGGATGAAGAGTTAGTCAGTAAGGACCCAATTTGCATGAAAGAAGTGATAACTGCACTTGATTTGTCCCTATTTCCAGAATATTTCCAAGACACAAAACTTAATCCCCGCCTTTCATTAGGAAAATATGAACAAGTTGTGGTCCTTACTGGTGAATACTGTAAATTTAATTGCCAAAACACACCAGGTTTTTTACTTCCTAGCTTTAAGTGGTTATCCCTACCTGGAATGCCTTTGTCATCTTCTCCTCGGAGTGCTGCTGTGTGTGGTGGACAATTGTACGTAATGGGTGGAAAGAACTCAAATTCAGTGTGTTGTTTTAATCCAAACCAAATTAAGTGGAGCACTCTTGACATGAAAATGGTTAGCAAAAAGTGTACAGTCACATCTTTTAATGAAGAGCTGTATGTAATAGGTGGAGAGGATTCATGGCGTGATGTTCAAATCTATGATCCAGTTTTCAATAAATGGAGACAAGGAGCATCAATGGAAACTGCTCGAGCTGAACACAATGCAGTTGTATTACAAGAACATATTTATGTCATTGCAGGTCACAATGGTGAGGTTTGTCAAAGCAGTGCTGATTGTTACAATCCATTAACTGACCAGTGGACTGAGATCTCAGGTATGTCTAAAGTGCGAAGGTGTGCTGCTGCTGTGGCAGTTGGAAGAAACCTTTTTGTCGTAGGAGGATTTGGTGACATGACAAGATCAACCATAGAACCTTCTTGTGAAATATTTGACCCAGGAGCTAATCAGTGGAGCCTGGTGCCCAGTCTTAGTATTCCTCGTGCTGCAAGTGGTATTGTGAGTACTGGAAACACAGTTTATTTGTTTGGAGGGGAGGATGAGAAGCATCGCAAGAAGGAAGTGCTATGTTGTGATATAGGAGAAAATGAATGGTACAACATATCAGTTATACCATCGAAGAATGCTCATTTCTGCAAGCATCGTTGCTCAAATTGCCTAAAGAGTTGATATCATCTAATTCTGAAAAATATGGAAAACTGTGAACACTTTGATAGGATTGAGACAGGTCATGTGTTCAGTGACTAATCATAATAAAAGTTAGGAAATGCAAGCAAACCTCAAAACCACAAACTGATTACAATAGCCATGAACAGTTAAGATTTATAATTCAATAAATAGTTCTGGTGTTCTCAATTTTCTGAGTTGTACTGTAATTCCTAGTCACCAAAGGTATCTCTCCACTTAAGTATGGGGCAGTTGCTGAGGTTTTGTAGCCAACAATGTGAAATCAATAGAAAAAAACTGTAAAGTTGTCTTTAAAAAAAAAAAACTTACCACATATAAAATAATTTTACTCAAGGATTCTACTGAACATTAGAGTTGTACAAATCTAATACTGCGGGGCTGCCTTATTCTACTAAAAAACTTAAAAATTAACAGACCATACTTACATGACAGTCAATGCTTTTGTTGCAATAATTTAGCATGATAATTAACAAGTTAGCATAATTGTCTTTTTGCTAGAGAGATGTGTAAAATAGGCACCAGTGATTAGCCCTTTCTAGTAAGAGGGTTTTATAGTAACATCTTACAGGGGTTTGGAGATGTTAAATTATTTTTGTATGTTATTTTTGTTGTATTGTATGTGCAATCTTCTGGACAAGAGAAGAATAACATTAAATCCTAGCTGTCTCTAACAAAGCTCTTCTACTAAGCCACTTTTGGCAACCTAACTTAGGCTGTCTCTTCTCACAAACTCTCATTCTTTGTCGCCATAGAGAAAGATTGCTGTTTTTTTAGAACCAATTCAGCACACATATGAAGTTTCAATTTTTGTAGAATTTCAACTATATGAATTGGGTTGGAGCCCACAAGGTGTGAGGTAATCATAAATGAAAGCAACAATTGCCAAATGTTAAACAGCACTATGTGATCTAAATTTCCATGAATCATGCAACTGTTCTATCAGGTTAAGGACTGTTTCGTGCTTCAAAAGTCTAGCTATGACATTTAAGTTTCATTTGTCTTGTGTTGAACCAATTGGCTATTTATTGAATTGCTGTATATTGTTTAAATAGAATCTTTCTAGAATTTCTTTTGTTTTCATAGCTACTGTGAAAAGCTATTTTGGGCCAAGCCTTCTCAGTACAAGAAGTTTAAATCCTTTGTTAACTGCATACAAAAACTATCAGCTGCCATTCCTGATGTAGAGTTTATCATTGATTGGCAGTGGTTGTTGCCTTAATTTGAAGTTTCTGTCCTAGGTTATTACAATCTGCAGTTGGGACTTATTCATTATCTTTTCCTCTCTATTGTGGCAAGAGATAAAGGAAAATTGGGAGTTGACAGTTGCATGGGAGAGATGTCACAAGACAAAAACTACAAATTTTTATAATTGGATAAGTTAAACAATGTGGAGTATGATGTATGAAGTCATGCTGTCATGCTTGTCAGTCTCTTATTCATGTGAAAATAAATCTCTATAGAGATTTCTTCACACCTCACTCATTGGACACAGAATGACACCATACACTACAAATGATAATTTTCCATCATTTTAAATTGTATGAGCACACCATGTGTTTGCAACTGACTTCAATTCTCATCACTGGAATAATACATTTTCATAAACCATGGATCTGCCAATTTCATCCATCATTGGAAGTAGTTCCAAGGGAATAATAATGTATTTGTGGGAATATCTTTCATCAGGCTGCCTGTTTCTAAAGATTAAATTTTTTAGAGTGAGTGGTGTCATTCCTCAGCTTTCTTGTGGGCCTTTATACTATGCACATGACAAGCACCTCTGCCAACTGTACTCTTTGTTTTTACGTGCCCTAATCGTTTTGTTATAATCTTATGCATGTTTATGGAATAATCAGGCTGATCTCATGACTTACCCACCAGTCAATAAAGTTAGTCTCATCACACTCTACCACCTTTCACCAAGTGCTTCAAATGAGTCCCCAATAAGAGTCAAACCAATGACCTTCCAATCAACATTTCTGGCACTCTACCACTAGGCAATGAGAGACTCATTTGCAAGAGGTTTTAGAAAGTGGTACACATCTTTAGTACCAATGGGAGGTTGTGGGTTTGACTCCTAGTGGGAGCACTTGAAGTTCATTTTCTTCAAGTATACCACTGTCATTCACTAATATCATCTTTCACCAGGCTTATCACTCACCATCTTCATTTGCAGTATCATTGCGCACCAGCTTCATGGTTATTTCCAAGCTCAATCCCAGGGTCCTCATTCTTCCCCTCCTTTCTCGAGGGAGCAACAGAGAGGACCGTGGGAACGAGGTTGAAATACACGCAATGAGCTAGTGAGTGTGCCATGCGTTGGAAAATTGTCACCATACTATACTTTGTTTCCTCATACATGACATATCTACTGCCGTTGTGCTTGTGCATAGCCCAGATGTAGCCGTACCCTCCCCCGCCAAGTTGAAACGGAAGCGAGGGAAATTCTACAAAAACTTGACACCAATCGTGTTTTATGAAGTCACTCTTTTGCAAGAAAATATATAATGGCTTTTAATTGGGTAACCCTCCCTTCCGTTTCACCTTTCGGGGGAGGGTACGGCTACACTTAGGCTACCTTTACACTTTGTGATTTGATTAACATGGCAACGTTCGCGTTAAAAGAAGCTGAGGATAGAACTTTCGATGGCTATAAAGATGAGTTGCTCCACAAACTCAACGAGCTCAGAGAAACAAACACTCTTTGTGATGCGACCATTCGAGTTCAAGGCCAGGATTTTCCGGCCCATAGATGTGTTCTTTCTGCGGCAAGCTCTTACTTCCGAGGTATGTTTACTAGTCCTCTGAGAGAAAGAAAAAGCGGTCTTGTTGAGTTACGGGAGATCAAATCATCCACATTCGGTGATGTTCTTTGGTTTATTTACACTGGTGAGGAGGTTAGCACTACCTTTGCTAACGCGCAAGACTTAGTGATGGCCGCCGACTATTTGATCATGCCAAGTTTGAAAGCGAAAGCTGCTTTTTTCCTCGAAAGCACATTAAATGCCACCAATTGCATGGCCTTAGAATCATTTGCTTCTCGGTATAACTGTGAAACGCTAAAGCAAGCGGCAGTTACCTACAAAGTCAAACATTTTGTAAGGGTGACACAATCGGAAGACTTTAGAAAGCTGAATTTAGAGAAAGTTAAGGAACTGATTTGCATGGACGAGATAAACGTGGCAGAAGAAGAGGAAGTGTATGAAGCAGTGATGGCCTGGTTGAAACATGATCTACCATCCAGGGAATGTTTACTCCTGGAACTGTTGCAGTGTGTAAGATGGTTTTCAATGTCCAAGTACACCATGCGAAAGATCCTCCATGAAGAGTTGATCAGGAAGAACCTAACTTGTACAAGGTTAGTTGTCGATGCTTTGGATCTTGTTGTATTCCCAGCTTGTTCTCAAGATACTTCACAAAGATCTCGCTTGTCTTTAAGTGGTTATGAAAATGTAGTCATCCTCACTGGTTCAGAAGATGATTTCCCAGAGGAAACTTGTGACTGCTTTGTGCCTGCTTCTAACACCTGGGTGTCCTTGCCCAATATACCTATACCACGTGTTCATCATGGTGCTGCAGTTTGTGGCGGAGTGTTATACGTGATGGGTGGAAGCGAATCAACTCCGGTGTGTTGCTTTAACCCAAAAGAAAATGAGTGGAGCACACTTGACACCACGTTGCGCAGAAAAGGCTGTACAGTTACATCGCTTAATGAGGAGCTTTATGTAATTGGTGGAGAGTATTCATGGCGAGATGTTGAAATATTCAATCCAGTTCTTAACAAGTGGAGACAAGGAGAATCAATGGAAACTTCTCGTGCTGGACACTGTGCAGTTGCACTACAAGAACATATTTATGTCATTGCTGGTCACAATGGTGTGAATTGTCTAAACAGTGCAGAGTGTTACAATCCATCAACTGACCAATGGACTGAGATTGCAAGCATGTCTAATGTCCGAAGGTCAGCTGCTGCTGTGGCAGTTGGCACAAAAGTGTTTGTGTTTGGAGGGTATGCTGACAATGTATTGGGGGTTATAGAACCCTCATGTGAAGTATTTGACTCAAGCACAAGTCAATGGAGCCTGATACCAAGTCTTAGACTTCCTAGAGCAGGAAGTGGTATTGTGAGTATCGGAGACACTGTGTATGTGTTTGGAGGAGAGGGTGTTGTTGTTGACGATGAAGAAGTATACCTGAAAGAAGACCTGGGTGATGTGCAGTGCTTTGACATAGGAACAAATAGATGGCATAGGATATCGTTTATACCATGTGGGGAATGCTCATATGTGCAAGCATCATTGCTTAAGGTGCCAAAAAGTTTATTAATCACTAGTGACTGAAATTTTCTCTCCACAAACAGTGACATCATTTCTAGGGTTTTTCACAAGTAACAATACTGGATACTTTTTAGGTGGACAGATATGGCATATTGAATAAATTTGTCATTGGTTATCTCTGTCTCATTGTTTTATGAATTAGAAATGAGTTACATTATTAGCTTGCTTGGCCTCTAAACAAATCGGTGGGAAAGTTTAGAAGAGGGAAAAGAACAGTTATGTCTGGGTCTTTAAGCCTCTACAAACTTGCCCATCCCACAGGCTACCATATTATATGCCTCCCCTCCCCCCCGAAAAAGAGAAAAAAAATCATAGACTTCATGCTCCTATAAAGTCCCATTCCTCTTGCTACCCAACTATATGCACCCCACTAAAATAGATCATAGCCAATGTCAGTATGTTTTATTATAACAAAAAGCTGAATTATACATGTTTTTTGATTGGTTCTTACCTATGATTTATTGGAGGACAGACACATAGGTGATGTCACTGTAAACAACATTTTCCTCAACCATTTTGCAAAAAAATAATAAACTTAATTTTGCCATGCAACATGGAATCAGTGACACGTAACAGTGAAGCCTAGTAGGTCCACTGGGCTGTAATTAATGTGCCATAAGCAAAAAGCACAAAGATTCTTCTCTTAAATAAACCTTCTTGAGGCCTGTAAGTAATGAAACCACTTTCCTGTCCATTAAGGAGATTTAGACCATCCAAATAGTACAATTATGTTTAAAAATGTTTCCTCAGGAAGAAAAGCTTAGGTCAGGCTAGAACTGAATTACAAGCAGAAGAATTGTTCTTTGGTAGTCTCTCTTTCACAAGAGGAGTGGTTCAGAGGACTCTATGTTGTCTTTATCAGTTTGCTAGAGGCCTTCCCAGAATGCTTACCACTGTACTCTTTGCAGGCAAGTTTGTGCATCCAGGATATATCTTCTTGCACCTATGAGGTCTCACTTAAACACCAGCCAGAGACAGAAGATACCATTAGTTGCTGGCTGACCATTCATAATTAAACACATGGCACTCTCACCTGAAATAAATAAACAGAGGATCTTCCATGGCCTTGCAGTGTTACAAATTGGAAGAGAAATTTCTTATCTCCAAGAGACCTCACTCTACCCAGCACAGTGACCATTTAGTGCCAACATTTTCTCATATTTGTCAATGCAAAATTATAGGATGAGGTTTAGTATGACATCATGAATAGACAATAGTGAGGTCTGAGTTATATCCCAAAGCCAAAGACTGAGGCACATAACACTGATATTAGTTTGATAATTCATGATATCACATGAAAACTAAATTCAATAATTGTTTTGTTATACATTTCATACAATCTGCAAAAGAATACTTTACACTTCCAGAACACTACACAGATAAAGGGCTTGGAAACTAGCCAGGCTTTGAACTCTACATGCTAACACAACTATTCAAAACTATAACAAAATTCTAGAATGTGATTGGTTATCACCAGCCTGATTTGAGCACTAATAGGACTGTGTAAGCATCATGCATGTAATTGGACTGTGTAATAGGACAGTTAAAGGGACAGTTGACATGTCATGCTTGTGTGAGTGGACAGAATGCATCATGTGCACATGCTGTTTCTTGCATTTTGCCAAGTTAACTGTTGCTGTTTTTTTTTTTATGAAAATGTATACCCAATGTCTAATTTCTTTCTCAAAGTTTGTCATAGTTTTGATTAATTGGTAACAAGACTTTGTTTCATCCAATTCTGACTGTAATCATACTTGTGATTAACAAATTAGACTCCCGCTTACAGGTTGTCCGATTTTGCTAATCACTTGTACAATTACAGACTGAATTGGACTCCACACCGTCCTATTACCATTATATATGCTGTAGATATTGGGTTATCATGTCAACTGTGCATGTTATTGTATACTGACCATAAGCTCTCAACCAATCAGAGTTTTTATGGTAAGTTTAATCTACATGTATAACAATACATTTTAACTTGTTGTATCTACCCTTAGGCCTTTAAGATACCACAAGCCTGAAAAATGTACCCCTTTCTGGCATAAACTTATCCACCAAAGAAATTCTACTTCAGAGAACTTATTTATCCTTTATACTCAAACACCATTATCCATATTCTCTATAATCCCTTACTGACAAGGAGAATTTGCCAAACAATCAAAGGTTCTTTGGCTGGCAATCATTTCTCATGATCATAAATAATGATTGATCAGTATTACTGTAAGGAGAAACTAGATGTTGGTCACTCCTGGGGTTTTTAAAAGGGTTAAATCACAACTTAGTCTTCACGTCTTTGGGCGTTGCGTGACATTCCCGAAGGAGTCTGCGTGTGACATGATAAGAACATTTGACCCCTTTTCTTGATTCTCCTCATTTTCCCACCTTTGATCGACTCGAATTTCTTACGGCTTCTTGTTAATTTCCAGTGCATCAAAAATCTTTCCGATCTGTGTCTTTCGGATCTTTGGAAAACGTTAGTAGATATCCCGACAATAATTCTTGATACAAACTTGCAACATACCACACCGGAAAATACTGCAAAGTTATCAAGCCGTAAACATTCCATTGTCGATTACTGTAATCCCAAGGACAGGCATTAAAATGTCTAAGCACTACACCCCAACTGAACTCCCACAGATACACCCAAATGACGTACAGAACACCTCGAACAGGCATCGGCAAGTACCACTTGTCCTTCCAAGTCAAGTACATTTGTTCAACCACAAAGCTTCCAAATCCATACTGGAAAAATGACCGTAAGGAAGAGTGCCCACGGAATTTCCAGTCATGGAAGTTCGATTCGACAAAATTAAACAACGATGTGAAGACTATTTCATCGAAAAACCCGTGGAGACCGTAAAGGAAAATTCGTAACCAAGCGTTGACCGCCATATGGTAAGAATCCCCAGCACTACACCCTCGGTTTTTTGGAGGTTCGATATGTAGCATCCAGTCCCTCCTTATCTCGGTATCCAACATGGCATCGACAACTAAATACGCCAGTCATGGAAAACAGTTTCTATAGCGTTGACGATGGCGACTTGGCCGGAAGCGAACAAAAAACGCAATCACGCACGGTGAGAGCATTCTATTTCTCATTTTGTTCCCCGATGATATGTTAAATTTTCGAGCTCTCGATCGAATGATAGGTCTACTTTCAGTTTTCATACTAATTTGCTTTGACGCACTATTTTACAGTTCTGCACCTAGTTGCCAAGCCTTTGATTTGGAGTGAGGCTGAAGGTGACCTTGTTGTGATAGAGAACAGTATCTTGTAAGCATGAGAACAAAGTAATTTACATTTGAAATGCAGCTACGTCTGTATCATAACAAGGTCACCCCTAGCCGCACTCCTGTTCAAAGGTTTGGCAATGAAGCATACAACTGTAAAATGGACCATTGTTCCCCTTCAATTGTTGTTGTTGTTTTTTTGTCTTTCAATATTAGGACCCCTTATTTTAAAATATACCCCTAATATGCAAACTACTACAAATGATAGGCAACCTGATACAAATTGTTGCTCCTATTCTGTGCATCAGGCACAGTTCCTGGAGGGAAATTCAGAAAGATGATTTCCCAGTTTGCATTACTTGCTCTCCTTATAAAGCACATCTAGACTGAGTTAAGAAAAACCAAAGCCAAATTAACTAGAACAGCCAATCAGAGCAAAGTAAAAGATCACAGGGAGTCCATCAGATATCAAGGTATAAACAAGCAAACTGTTCGAGGTGTAGGAAAGTGCAAGGAACCAAGTAGCAGTTGGTTTAAGTTTTGAATCTGACTGGCTGAGAGGATGGGGCAGTTTTTTTGGACAGATCACATGGAAGAATAAAGTTAAACCAATGGAATCCCACATTACCTTCAACACTGTCTTAAGCAAGGTGCCAATTAAAGGAAAGGGAGTGGAAATATTTGAACATTTATTAGCTGAAATTATCTTTAACCCCCAAGAGTGATTACTAACCATTTTCCCCTTTCAGTATCACCCCTAAAACAAACATTGAGGTCTTGAGAATAAGAGAAATGATCACCAACTAAAGACGCTCTTGATTGTTAAAGAAATTCTCTTTGTCAGGACCATAGGGAATGTATAGAGAACAGTATGGAGAAAGTGCATACTGATGTTACGTTGTAAAGGGTTAACCTGAAGTGTTATAGAAAGTAAAGTTAAGTGATAACATTGTCTTGTTACAGAAATGCAACCCTTGAGTTACTATCAGATGGTAGAAGCAGACACTCTAAGAGCTCTCAAGCAAGCAGCAGGGTTACAGAATTTGAAAATCTAGGTCTCTCTGTGGAACGAGATGGACAAGCTATGAGTGATGTGTCATCCTTTCATTCAGAATCATTGTACAGTCAGCATGCTGATAGTTTGCACATATCTGCCAGTGTACCCTCACACTTGTCACCAGAAGTTGTATGTTTTTCTCTTTTTCAGATAAATATTTTATTTTTATCAAAGACATTTTTGCTTTTGGTTATTTTGAAAACTAGGCCAACATGGAAGTTATTTATCCCAATCCTAATAAGAAAATGGAACTCGTTGTAACTTGGCCTGTTGATATTTTATGAAGTTTCAGAATTGATGGTTAGCAGAAATGTCACGTTCTGAGAATTTAAAGTGCTCTTTCTAATATATCACAGTAGCACAATTAAATGCAGAATGCTATTTTGAATGGAATCCAACTTGTTAATCTAATATTTTATGGAAAGCATAAGCACTTAGTGAAAATCTCCATGCTGTTTCGGACACCTATGGGGGTGTTTTACTCTACAAACTCATGCTGCATTCAGATATTATTTTTATTTTCTTTTTTCTACTTTTAATCTTAACCTGCTTGTATTCCAAAGACATATCAGAGAAGTTTACCAAACATAACTATTGGCTGTGTCAGTATTGTTGTTACCTTCTTCCTCTTCATCACTGGTGTAATTCTGGACACAGTTTTTAAACAAAAAAATGAACAAAAAGGCAAGTGAGATATTTTAGTTGCCTATAATTAGTCATTGCATTAAGAAAATCTATACTTAGAATAGAGGTTGCATAAGCTTTTTCATACATGTGAATATTTTTCTTCACTGTCTGTCTTGGCCAGCTTTTAGATTACTGTAATTCCTTGAATGAGAGCCCATTCTCTAATAAAGCTATTCCCCTGGGTAGGCACCCACCCCTTGGGCCATGAAATCAAACAAGTGCCCCTCTTGAACAAGCCCTCCCCTCCTACCTTACTTTCTCAAATAGTGAAGATACAAGGAAAACCTGTTTCTATTGCCACTGTAGAAGAATCAATACAGGTTATGAGCTGATGACGAGGAAATACAGTACATTCCAAGATTGCTCAAAGCCCGTCATTTTTGTGTCTGTAGTGGCCAAGCATGTATTCTTCATTCAATCAACCAGTTATATATTTTAATAATATGTGCAAGAGCTGCAAGCTTATTCAGATACAAACTTATAATAAAATAAATTACTTGTCTGAGAAATATAATAGCCTAAAGTAATGGAACAGCATTGGCAGTGTTTTATTGATTTATAGATGATGAGTTATAAGTGATAATACATCATTATTGATTAATTTACAAATGGATTAAGCATTAATTGGTATCTACGAATGATTAAATTTTTCTTCTCAGTAATTAAGACGGCTTGTGAAGTGTTGATGGCAGCAGGGCTCTTTGGATTCACTGGTATGATGATATCTATTCCAGTGTATTCTTATATTTCCTTACCTACCTTTTTCTCAGCCACCATTTTTAGGACTGCTTTATTATAATTGATATTGTCCAGAGCAATGATTTACTAACAGAAGGAATTGTTAATGTTGTAGCAAGAGGAGTAGAGATCATGACACATATTAAAAAAAAACCTGTCCCTTTTTTTAATCCAAGTTCATCATGAATTTTGCCTTCCAAACTAGATATTTGACCAATCGGCAAGAACCTATTACATGCTCTGTTATTGTAGGAACTAAGTTCTCCATTGATTTTTTCTTAACCCTTTACTCCTTAACATCAGTATGCATATTCTCCTTACTACTTTTTAGACATTTCATAGGGCTCTGACAAGGAGAATTTTCTTCAACAATCAAGAGTTTCTTTAGTTGGTGATCATTTCCTTTATTCTCATGACCTCAATGTTTGATTGAAGGGTGATTTTGTAAGAAGAAATTAGATGTTAGTGACTCTTTGGGATTAAAGGGTTCAAGCATTAACAATGAACTTACATCAAATGATGTATTTTGCTCTGTTGCTTTAGGTGGAGTAACCAACTGGGTCGGAATTAAACTGATATTCAACAGGATTCCAGGATTGTTTTTTAGGCATGTGACCCTTGCTGTTGCCTTCTGAGGGGGGAAGTTCATCTTTACCCTTTGTTCTGTAGCATTCTTGTTGCTTATTAGGCTGCAATCAATTGTTAAAGTATAAGATTTTTCCTGGAACACAAAACTTAATTGTTACTTCTCAAATTGGTTTTGATATGTAAGCTTTGGATTCTTTGAAAAAAAGGAAACTACTCACTCTAAGGGGGTCAGTGACTTTGAAGAGGTTGTTCCAATGTTTCATAGCCAAGCAACATTTATACTTTCATTTGACTTATATGCAGTTTTACATTAAGTTAATGGACTCAGCCTATTATTAGTAAGTTACAGTTGTTATAATTCTCATTTGAAGTCTTCTTGTTTTTTCCACAGTGGAGCCATCATTAAGAATTTTGTAACTGCCAGGAAACTGATGGCCAATTTTATTCTTGAGGCATTTTTCAGTCCTTCACAAGTTAGAAATTACATTAATGACAAAAAGAGAACATATCTGACAGCAGAACAGATAGGTAAATGATGATACATTTTATGACAGTTTAGATATATCTTTGCCTTTTTAAGTTGTTCTTTTTCTTGGTTACTATGGAGATTTCCACTTTTTTTAGAACTTAGCAAAATTAGTGAAACAATGCAACAGTAACAATATTGGAGTTTCTTCTCTGCTTAGGAATAGTACTGTGAACCAAAAGTAGTTAATTTTGATGCTTTTAGTGCAAGTCTAGCTAAGTCATGCCTTGGAAAGTTTAGCTGCTAAATTTTTCTTGAATCTTATTTTATATATGTATATGCTTTTTTCAAACAGACTATCAGCTTGAGAAACTTCTCAATTCCAGAATTGCAGAAGATGTGATTCATGAACAGTTGGAGGTTTTGATGGGAACACCAGAAGGTAAGTTGATTGGTCCATTCAGCAGGTACATTTACTGCTTCATTTGGCAGCATATGGATTTGTTGGTTAGTGGATTGAATTCTGACTGCTTTGGGTGACAATAATCCCATCTGGTTAGGAATAAATTAGTTGGCTATTTTCATTTAAGGAGTTGAAGGTAAGGCAAACAAGCACAACCTCAGGGTGCAGCTGATGGAAGGGTGTGGATCTGGGATTGTATTGGTATTGGATTAACAGTGTCCAATATCATAAATTTTATCAAGCACCATGCACTATGTCTGATGAATTCATGTTTTGTTCAATAGCCTGTACATTGGTTAATTTTTTAAAATTCTTTTCCTTGCCCTTTGATTCATTTATCAATCCATCCATCCATCTATACCTACATTCCTACATGCACACTGTTCATTTAATAGTTCAATTTGTTGTTTGTTTATTTTTACATTTACTTCTTAGTTCATTCATGTAGTCATTCAGTCTGCCAGTCATACATGAACTTAGTCATTAATTTGCTTTTTTATGCATTATCAATGCCCACACCTTCCCATGCAAGGGCTTAATTGTGTCTAACACATGCCCAAATCATAAAATTTTTAAAAGGGAAAATTGCAATGATTAAATATCACAGGTAACCCCCAAGTGCTCATTGTTTGGTTACAGACCAGTATGGTAGCCCCTTCCTCTGTAAAGTGAAGGTTAATGACTTTGTGGCATGTTGTCTGATTTTTAATTGTAGGTCTCAAACTTCGTATGCTTGGTGTCACCAAAGCCAAACTGGCGCCCCTTGTAAAACCTCAGTTGATGAAGTATAAAACACACATCGTGCCATTGGTAAGGAAAAAGGGCAGTATACCTATTGTCCTTCATTATCTAATTCTTCATTTGCATCTTAACCCTTTACACCCAAACATCAGTATGCATATTCTCCATACTGTTCGCTTTACATTTCCTAAGGTGCTGATGAGGAGAATTTGTTTAGTGGAGAGTATCTTTGGTGATCATGTCCTTCATTCTCATGACTGTGATGTTCGATTCAGGGCTGATATTGTAAGGAGAAATTAGATGCTAGTCACTCTAAGGAGTCAAAGGGTCGAAGAAAGTCGTCAACAGGAATTGAACCTGTACGTGCATCATATGAAATTCACCATCATGCGAACTGTGAATAGAGATTATGTTGAATGGCTGATGTTCATGTTTTGTTTTGTTTGTTTTTGTAATGTTTTGTAGTTACTCTCATCAATTGAATCAGTTGATCTGTTAAATGCGGATCACCTCAGAGAACAGGTATGCATTCTTTTAGATAATGCGTAATAGAAGATACCCATTTGTGCTATTTAACTTTTTAAAAGTATTTTACACTATTCCATGGGGCCTTGGCACTAGGCTCGGTGCAATGCAAGGTGTGCTGGTTCCATCACTCGTTTCTGTTCCACTGCACTCCCATACCGTGCATGTCCAGACAGTCAGAGTATGGCTTACTCCCTTCAAGTAGTGCGACATTTTTGTCTTTGTTCTTTTTTTTTTCCTTCTAAAGATTGTGGATTTGATTTCGACAAGGACGCAAGAACTGTCCGCACAACAAGTCAAGCTGGTAAGTGACATCCTTGAGTGATCAACTGTTATGTTCTCTTTCTAATGTTTAGCAATAGCGTTATCTGGCCTCGGCTTTGAAGAATAAAGTAAAGAGGAAAAAAGAAAATCTTAGGTTATGTGAAAAAAAAATCATTGTTAATAATGATATTTTTTCAGGCGAGAAACTGAAAGGCCTGGTTATTTACATGAGGTCTAAACCAAACCGCGCTTTTAAGCAAGCAGAAGGTGTCAGGGATTCTCTATAAGAGGGTTGGTTTATTTAAATAAATGTCTTTCCACTATTAGCTTTCGGCCCTCTTGACACTGTTCACAAACTTAAACGTTCAGATAATAGGTTCGGCTTACTTGCAGATGGATTACAACGCGGTTTTGATAAACAACGGCTAAACTTTGTTTAAATAACCAGCCCGAAAGGTTTCTTTAGGGAGAAGAAAGTTATAAGGTGTACAATAGTTATCTTCACAAAAAAGAGCAAGTGCTCTTTCTGGTAAATCCTTGAAAGTTGTTGCTGAGTATCTGAGCAGATGAAACGATCTAAGCTGTGGAACGATGCGTAATGAGAGAATTTGACGAGAGGCAATTGATCGCTTGAAATCGTAATCGTTTAAACAAGGAGATAAACCCCAGCGAGCGTAAATGCTCATTATTTTGCAACGAGTACGACTTGTTCAACTATCGTTAACAAGTTGGGTGATGGTGAATTGTTCTTTAACTTAAGAATTCACCTGATGTTAACGTGACTCTCCTTATCTGTGCACGTGTAGCTGGTCGAAGACGCGGTCTACCGACATTTAAGTTGGATAGTTTTCTGGGGGAGTGTGTTGGGAGCTGTGGTTGGCTGTGCAGCCGAGCTCGCCTCCGTTTACATCAACGGCACGTGACTCGTCAGATGGCTTGGAAACAATGTGTGGGGTCTGGGCTGATTCATTACATGGTCAACTTTTAAATGAAAGCCGACTGATCGTACGGAACAATTAACCTTCTGAGCCATAGAGTTTGTCAGGGAGCGATTTGGCCAGCTTCGCAGGTTGCTAAGAGTGCTCCCGTAGAATGTACACATGTACGTACCATAGATTTCCGCAGATATGAAAAACGTTGTCCGGAACGGCTCACTCTAAGCAAATACACGGTGGATCTTAAGAAGCTTCATTTAGGCTCATGATGACAAAGTGTAAGCATTTGTATGGAATTGCAGATAAATTTTACAAACGTAATGTTGTAAAGGAATTGGAGTTTCACAAGGAACAATGAACGAAGAAAATGAAAAAATTAAAAGGTTAAGGAGAGTTAAGGCTTATAAATCACTTTCAACAATGGTCTTCTTTGAAACGAGTGTTTAAAAGCGAGATGAAATTCAAAGCAGGGGCGATCGGCGACCGGCGTAAGACGAACCGTGATCATGACAAGATAACAGCAAAATAAAGGTAATGAAAACTGTCCGTCTATCTGTTTTTGCTCGACCAACTCTTTTTTAACGCGTTTCCAGTGTACAACCTTAAGTAGAGGAGATAGAGACACAAACGTGTGATGGTTCTCTCTGAGTTTATGCGTGCGTGCACTCGCGTATGTGCGTGCGCGTTTGCGTGTGTTTGTGTTTCACGTGCGTACTAAAAATGAAACAGTAGACTAAATGTGTCTCAAACGGTACGTGATAGCATTTTATAAGCTGTTTTAAATGCATGTGCAACGCAAAGGTCCGTCTACGCGTTGAAACGTATTTGGGCGGTATATTTCTTAAAAGTTTATGACCGGCATCGTTGCATCAACCTCCCTATTTGTTTGGAAAGAAGACGGACTTGAGTCCATTTGAGGAACTGAGTATGGAGATCGGCTCTCTTATTAAAACAGATTTGTTGCTCGTATTTCACTAACCATTGGTTTCAAATAAGCGTTGTCTATTTTTTTATTTTTCTAAAACGTGTTCCGCCGCGCCCGAATGTTTTCACTGAAATATTAACACAACGCAACTTTGAATTATAACCAACTTTTGTAGACGTTCGTTTACCGAGGGACTCGTTTCAATCTTTCCGTGATTTTTTCATGATTTTTAGCAATTCAATTGATTTTATAATTCCTTTCGATAATTTTGTTTTATGTTAGAGGTGGTTGTCCAAAACCGAAAATTAGACACGAAAGGTTTCTTTATCTCGCAAACGATGCAATTTGTCTAAAGCCAATGTTTCTTACGTCCTGCTGACACAGTTGTCTGGTACTACTAAATTATTCAGTGAAAAATAACTTTGCAAGAGAAGACGCTCATTGTTCTCAGGCGGTACAAGTAGCTTGTGTTTTATACGCTTGTTGCATAGAAAAGAAAAACACAGCATCTTTGAACCACAAAATTTAAAACAGCGTTACGTGTTTGTTGAAGCCTGCATGTACACTCGATGGATAGTTTAATTTATAATCAATGTTCGCAGGTAGGATTGCTTTTTTAGTTTTGTCATCGTCAAGAAGCTAATGCGAGCTTTTAACGCACATTGGACAAATGCATGATTTCAATTCATGTTTGCAGTTTTAATCCCGTTTAGTTTTCGTTGTTTCAGTAATTTATCGTCAACTTTTCTAAAGACTGCCGAAGAATTGATCCACCATTGGTTTTTTTCTTTTTTCGCACAAAGAAGTTATATCTTCAACTTTTGAGATTCGAAGGAAGACTGAAGATGGATAATAAAAATTTGTAGAAATAATCCGCGTGGTGCCACTGCTAAAATTTTCCGCGCCTTTTCTCGCCTGACTGATGATGTACTTTCACGCGCTTACCCGCCATCAACTTAAAATGTTGATGGTTTTTTTTTTCGTTTTTTTTTTTTTTTTTACTAGATACTCATTCGTATTAAATAGCCATTAGCTATTTTCTTTCGTGGGGTTAAGCTTTACTAGCATGTGACCTCAAGAACTCAAGCATTAATTGTTGTGTGGAGTGCGTTAAATTAGCCTCAGTTTATATTTTATTGTTGGTTCGCCTAAATCCATAGGGAAAACGTGTTACTGCCCTCCCGCGGTTTTTTGTTTGACAAAACAGTTTGTGGATATTAATTATTGACTTCACCTTCGCGCTTTATTTTGCATAAAGACCAAGGTCACCTACTGTCATTGTTGAAAATACTCTAGAAAATCTGCTAAAAATATTTCAAGTGTCTTGCGCAAGCGAGGCGTTTGGGATGTGTGTGCAAGCTGTTGTTAACCCTTGAAGCCCTAAGGATGACTAGCATCTAATTTCTCCTCACAATATCACCACTGAATCACACATAAATGTTATCAGAATAGAGGGAATGATCACCAATTACAGAAACTCTTGATTGTGAGACAAATTCTCCTTGTCGTTACCTTAGTAAATGTACAGAGAACAGTTTGGAGAATATGAATGCCGATGTTAGGGTGCAATGGGTTAAATAAATTGTTTGGTGAAAATTGACACCTTGTTAAGTTGCCAGTGTTATTAACAAACAGCAATAAAAATGGAGAGAGTTAAAAAATATCGAGAAGTTTTTTTTTTTAAGTACCAAATTCAGAGCAAATCAGGAGGGGAAAAAAAAGAAAACTAGATAGTCCCAGTGTGAGTTTTTACAAATATAATCTTTTATCCGGTGCTTGAGTATTTTTCGATCGAGTGTCGTAAAGACCAAAACCAAATTAATTTACAACGGCCAATTAGAAAGACGGAAAATATCACAAGAACCAGAGACATCTCGAGGTAACGGCAAGAAACCTGCCTAAAGCGCGGGAGCCGGATCTTGAGAATTCGAGTCACTTTTGTTCTAAATTCTGCGTTTTGCACGTGTTTTCAAAGTAAAACAAACAGTAGCAATCCCTGTTTACATTCGATACTCGATATAAAATAGCTCGGAAGAGAAAAGGGACATTTTGTGTGATGTTAAGTTTTTGAACAAGTATTTTCAAGATAACAGGAACAAGATCTATTCTTTGAGCTATAACAGGTCTGTTTTGACCAGTAAGTGAAGGATTTAAGGAAATACATGTATTTGATAGTAGGTAAGAGATTTTTGTTTCTTTTCTTCCAGAGCTTTTTGAAGAATTCTTATACGTTGCAAAACAGCTTCATCGATTAAAGGAGTGACCTTTTGTTTTGCACCACTTGTTTCCAAATTTAGCTTATACCCAGACTCCATAAACTATATAGTTTTAACTCTGGTTGGTTATGTAATGATAATACTTCATTTACCATTAGAAATTAAATTTAGTACACAAGAGCTAGCTTACCGAACTTAGTTTTGTGTGTCCCAACGAGTTTTTCCTTAAAACTGTGCGAAAATTCGTAGAGTAAAACTCTGTTTGCAAAACATGATTTCCAGACGAAGCGATATTTATCAAAAATGGAATGAGTCAAACATTTTTTACGATGAGCTGCCTACTGAAACAACAGGAAAGAAACTTATCAATTGCAATAAATCAATCATTTCTAACCGTATGTTATGTAAAGGTTATGTGTTGTTCGTTGTCCGTGCACAACCTTTGGCGTTGTTCGTTTGCCAATAACATTCTGGTAACCTTGGAGAAAAACATCTCGCGATCAACGAACCTCAACAGCCTCGTTGCGAGGCCACGTGGCCCCTGAAACGAGGTTGTATGTCAGATTATTACGTAAGAGGTGTCAAACCTGAGCAAACAACTTTGAAGAAATAGCTGTATTCTCGAGTGGATGGGAATGAATCACGGGAAAACGACTCTTAAAAACAATGATGTCAAACATTTTAACTTATCTTTCCTAGGTGTTAGAAACTTTTTTCATGCTGTATCTAGCAATTGTACCTTATTCTTTATGCAGTGTATTTCAAATAACATTCAAATTCTTGCCTATCGCCATCAAATGGGGCGGCAATTTTTTTGCAGATGTGGTTGAAACACCCATAATTAACATCAACTATGGTGAGTTTGAAGTGTTTGGATTTTTTTGCCGTATCCGGCCTAATCCTGTTCCCGCTCTCATGAAAAAGCCACGTGTTCTTGGCGTTTGATAACCGTGACTTATTGTTCGTCGTTTTCACCTGTTGCGCGTTTATCGCTAATACGACAATTGAAACCACAAAATTACATTACAATTATAACTGCTCAGAAAATCAATACCTTTTTGTTGTTGTTTGCCGATCCACTGCCCACGAAACTGAAAAAGTCTGCCGGGTGTCGGTTACGTTTAGAATATTATCCCGTAACTAATGCACTGACTTCCTGTCGTGTGGTTTTTTTCTCCCTTTTGGTCAATGTCCCCCACAGAGTGTCAAGTTCAAAAGGAATCAGTTTGTTTATCCAGATTCGAAAACAAATTTTTTCTGCAAATAGCTCGTGACTGATTAAGTTTTATTTCGTCGCAAAATGAAGTGAATGCTTTGTGGTTTTCATGATTTGTTTTTCTTGGTTGGCAATTTCCTGATCGAAATAGTACACTGCACCCTCAAAAATGTTATTTGTTTCGTTACGCTTACGAAAGAACGGTTTTGTTTAAAGAAGCGTTTTCTGTTGATCGTAATACATTTAAAGATGTGATCTTTTCCCGACATTTTTCTTGCAGTTTATTCAGAGGCTTTTGAGGAAGAATCTTTCTCAAATTTTCAAGGTTTTCGATGTGCTTACAGAAATAGTTCTTTTCAGTTAGCTCTCTTTGTAAAGAAAACTCGAAACTTATCTGCTGTGGACAAACCAAAAATTTTAAAAAAACCACCTTATTTCTTATTTTTAGAATCCATTTGTTTAGCATTTGTTTTGATTTCAGCTTTTATCAGAAAATGATTTATTAAAACGAGAGACATTTCCCTTCCCTAATGCAGTTTTTGTCTTTGTTTCGTCGTCCCTCTTTTGTCTTCGTAACTTAAATTCTTTATTTCAAGAAATCGTTAAAATTAGTTTTTTAATCTCCTCTTATATCCTGTCATTTAACTAAGTTGAAAGTTAAATATATTTTTAGGCCTGGCGATTGACAAGCTCGAATCGTATTGGTTAAAAGATCGACCAATCACATGTCATTAATTTACGATTGTTGTGCAACCATGAGCTAGAAGACGAGACTAATGCAACATGTGGTGGTTATATAACCAAGAAAATTGCTTTATTCATTCTAAGTGTACCGATTACACAACCAAAAGAAAAAAAAAAAAAGAGCAGATAGATTTCGTCTCGTTTCTTTCAACCAAATGGTTCATAATTTTCAATTTTATCGTGCACAGATTTAGGGAACTCTAATTCGGAGGCAAAGAAGACTTGCATGCTGTAGTTATAGTCTTTGTGACAGAACACACTGACGGTTTAGTAAGCAGCGAGAACTTCAATTTAATTACGGTTTGTGTGAATTCTTCCAAAAAGAAACTCGAAACGGCATAAACATCTCAGTGCAGTATCGTCTGTTGAGAGGTTACTTGAAAGAGCGCACAGGTTCTACCCACATACTATACAGGTATTCACGCGTCAGTTGAACTCATCCCATGAATTTGAACTTTTAC